GCCAGCCAGAGCATCACAGCCAGGTGTCCATCCTCCTGTTCATTAGGGAAAGAGGGGGTGACTTCGGGAAGCCAAGGAGGCCTCAGAGTCTGCCTCTTCCGTGTTGACGGGCCCAGAGGCCTGGTTCAAGTCTGACCCCCCTTCCTCGCACACTTGGCTATGCGCCCTGGATGCCCTGGAGCCCTCCTCCCGGCCTGCCCACGCTCCTCACCCGCAAAGCCCCTCAGAAACCCAGGCTTTGGGGGCTGGTAGCTTTCGCCTCTGAATCAGGACCTGTGAACATTACTGGGAAGTTGTGCAGGAGATGAGGAGGCTTCTGTTAGGCTGAGATGATAATTGCACTATTTAAAGACGGCGCTGGAGCCAGGAGGAGCCAGGTGTCCTGGTGTGGCTGCCCTGGAGCTCCCTTCTGCTCACGAGCTGCGTGGGTGGGGCGGGGGCCTGATGTCCCCCCCGGCTTGCCTTCAGCCTGCTCTGGTGATGTCATTTCACCAGGGGAAGTGGGGTTGTTACCTGGTACCTGGTTTGGAGGGGGCGCTGGGGAAGGGCTGGTGGCATGGAAGCTTCTCAGCTGCCAGAATGGCCAGGAGGGTCTGGGGAGGCCACATTGGACCAAACAGCCAGCTCATCACAGCCAGCAGCCTGGGGTCCTGTTCTCCCTTCCTGAGAACTTCCTGGTCCTTTCCTGCAAGGAGGTACAAAAATCCCACCCACAGGCCTGCCTTTGGCCACTGCTAAGGTAATTTACATGCCCATGCCATTGTAGGGTGCTTTCTGCTTCTCCAAGTGCTATCTATGACTTCATTCTGCTAAGGTGGGCACAACAAGGGTCGTGGGTTCCATCTTGCAGCAAAGGTCCTAGTAGGACCTTAGGTGACCTAAGCCCAGGGTCACCTAGCTGGTCTGTGGCAGAACTGAAACCAGGTCGGAAGTCCCCGCTCTAGGCTCCTTCCTCTGTACTGCGTTGCAGGCTGCCTGGGGGTTTGTTGGACTGAGGCCACTCCCAGGGTCCCTGAGCTCCTGAGCATACTAATGCTCTTCTCCAAAGGACAGATTCTGCCACAAGGGGCCCCTTATCCAGCCTGGCCTCCTCTTCTCTCTCCTTTCTTCTTAGGGTGGACCTGGAGGGGTGGTGAGCTGGACAGGGAGAGGGATGGGGACAGGAGAAGCTTCCGGGTTAGAGGGAAGGAGAGGTGGGCAGCTGGGCTTGATTCCCCTTGGAGGGAAGTATCTGAAGACCTCACAGGGCCAGCCGAGCCAAGGGCTCCAAATACTGTCTGTTCCTGTGGTTCTTGTGAGAGTGTCGTGTGGTGGGGACTCGGGGACAGCTTTCAACTCATTATGGTGCTAAGGGCAGGGGGAGGGATTTGAGTGGGTGATGGATGGGTCCTTGGAGGTGGGCACTTCTAGAGGGGGTGGCTGCTCATGAGCATGATGGCTGCTGCCCAGAGGCCTCCCCAGGCCAGAGGACTGGTGGGCGAGGGCCCAGGCGAGCTGCGCCTCGGCTCCCAGCCCCTGGATGAGGGTGAGACAGGTTGCAGCCCAGGGGCCTTGCTTCTTGGAGGAGACGCTCTCCCTCCAGCCCCTGCCCCTCTGTGGAGTCAGACAGCCTGGAATCGAATCTTCATTCTCCCTCTTACTGGCTGCGTAGACTTGGTCCCAGGATTTTGAGTCCCAATTCTCACATCTGTGAAATGGGAAGAAGAACGACGTCATCTTTGCAAGGAAGCATGAGGATTAAAGTAAGTTGGTCCGTGTCAGCTGACAACACGTGCAGCACGTGGCGGCACTGACTAAATCCCCGCTGCTGTGGTAATTACCGTTCTCTTGGATGACCACCTCCCCCGTTCCCTCAGGCCTTTGCCTCTCCTCCAATCTAAGGGCATCTGGCCCTCATCTTCCACCCCTTCACCCTGCTTGAGACTCACCGCCTGAGGCGTCTTTGCCCAGCAGCTTGGCCCTGGCCCTGGCCCTCGGACCTCCACGGGCGGCCACCTTGCTCTGGCCAAGCCATCTCAGAGTGGGAGGGCCTGCCAGCTGGTAGGGCGGTGGGGAGCCGCTCTGTGTGTGTGGCCAGCCAGAGCATCACAGCCAGGTGTCCATCCTCCTGTTCATTAGGGAAAGAGGGGGTGACTTCGGGAAGCCAAGGAGGCCTCAGAGTCTGCCTCTTCCGTGTTGACGGGCCCAGAGGCCTGGTTCAAGTCTGACCCCCCTTCCTCGCACACTTGGCTATGCGCCCTGGATGCCCTGGAGCCCTCCTCCCGGCCTGCCCACGCTCCTCACCCGCAAAGCCCCTCAGAAACCCAGGCTTTGGGGGCTGGTAGCTTTCGCCTCTGAATCAGGACCTGTGAACGTTACTGGGAAGTTGTGCAGGAGATGAGGAGGCTTCTGTTAGGCTGAGATGATAATTGCACTATTTAAAGACGGCGCTGGAGCCAGGAGGAGCCAGGTGTCCTGGTGTGGCTGCCCTGGAGCTCCCTTCTGCTCACGAGCTGCGTGGGTGGGGCGGGGGCCTGATGTCCCCCCCGGCTTGCCTTCAGCCTGCTCTGGTGATGTCATTTCACCAGGGGAAGTGGGGTTGTTACCTGGTACCTGGTTTGGAGGGGGCGCTGGGGAAGGGCTGGTGGCATGGAAGCTTCTCAGCTGCCAGAATGGCCAGGAGGGTCTGGGGAGGCCACATTGGACCAAACAGCCAGCTCATCACAGCCAGCAGCCTGGGGTCCTGTTCTCCCTTCCTGAGAACTTCCTGGTCCTTTCCTGCAAGGAGGTACAAAAATCCCACCCACAGGCCTGCCTTTGCCCACTGCTAAGGTAATTTACATGCCCATGCCATTGTAGGGTGCTTTCTGCTTCTCCAAGTGCTATCTATGACTTCATTCTGCTAAGGTGGGCACAACAAGGGTCGTGGGTTCCATCTTGCAGCAAAGGTCCTAGTAGGACCTTAGGTGACCTAAGCCCAGGGTCACCTAGCTGGTCTGTGGCAGAACTGAAACCAGGTCGGAAGTCCCCGCTCTAGGCTCCTTCCTCTGTACTGCGTTGCAGGCTGCCTTGGGGTTTGTTGGACTGAGGCCGCTCCCAGGGTCCCTGAGCTCCTGAGCATACTAATGCTCTTCTCCAAAGGACAGATTCTGCCACAAGGGGCCCCTTATCCAGCCTGGCCTCCTCTTCTCTCTCCTTTCTTCTTAGGGTGGACCTGGGCAGGGTGGGAGGGAGAATCTGAGGATTTGCGTTATTAGCATCAGTGATTTGGCTGCTCTGGCAAGACTGGCATGGCAGCCCCTCCCATCTGCTTCCAGCTGCCCTGTGGGGCAGGGATGTTTCGGGGCAGACCAGGGGGCTACTTTTCACCTCTGCAGCCTCTTGGGAACTGCCTTCCACTGTCCAGCTTAGGAAGGGATCCCCTGGATCAGTCTGTGTCCAGTTTCTACATCTGGGAGCATGCGTGTATGTCCTAGGACTCCATGTTCCTGTGTCTGCCTGTGTGTGTGCATGGGAGTGTGTGTGCATGAGTATGCATGTGTGCTTGCTTGAACTACTGGGCTCTCTTGGAGTGGCTGTGGCTGTGAACTTCGGGGTTCTCAAGCTGGCACTCTAACTTCCATCTGGTCCAGGCCCACATTCCCCCCAGCCTCCCTTTTGCTGCCACCCATTTCTGCCTAGATCATTGCTACTTTGGGGGGCGGGATGGCAAGCAGGGTCAGGTAGAAGAGACTTGGCCCATCTCTGGTGACTCTGCTGGGTTCAGTCCAGCCAGGGGCTGCCCAGTGTCTGACTTCTCATCTCACACTGGGTCCTGATGCCTTCTGTCCTCTCCCAACCCTTCCAGTCTGCCTGTTGCCCAATCTGCGAGCTAAGGGCTGGACAAGAAGTTGTCCCTCTGTCTCCCAAATGGGAAGGAGAGGGGAAGGAAGGAAACACTATTTAGGGAGCATCTGTGAGCCTAACTCACAACCCATCTCTCATGCAGCAGGAGCCCTGAGGACAGCTCCTTTGGAAAACTAAGGTGGAGGCCTTCCAGCAGTGGACAGGGAGACTGGAAGCTGATGACAGGCAGAGAAATCTCTAGCTGCATGCTGCTTTCCTTGGCACATGCTCCTTTGCTCAAGGCATCACTGGAGCTGGGCGTGCCCCATGCAAATTGCCCTACGCTGGTAACTCCCGGCAATGCTAGCAATGGGCAGTTACATGAGGGAGAGGATCTCCAGCCCCGAGCAGGGGCCCCCACACTGCAGTCCTGCGGTAGGAGAGCAATGGTTGCTACCCCTGCGTGGACCCTGCATCATGCAGTCCCTGCTCCAACCCAGAGGTGTTAGGCCATGAATTCAGAATGGAAGCCTGCTGTCTGCCAGGTTTCAAGAGTGAGGGGTGACTGAGGCCAGAGCCTCTTCCCTGAACGATGGTCAGGGCTCTCTGCCCGCCCCAGTGCCCAGCTCGTGTTTCTCCAAGGAGCCATGTTGTGCCAGTGGTCAGCGTAGGAGCTGCTCTGCCTGTTTCCTATGATCCCAGTAGTCTACGCTCTGTGGGACTCACAGCCACCAAAGAGCTCTTTGACCCCTTCTGTGCTTGCTTTGGCCTGAATGTGGGGGAGGCGACTATGGAGAGAGGGGCCAGAGACCCCCACCCCCAACTCTCCCACCCCCAGGTCTCAGGAGGACTGGGCAGCCTGCCCGCTGCTCCCCTGCCACTGACTGAATCATTGCTATATTTGGCCAGAGAGCCACGTGGGTGGGGGAACCACCCCGCTGCGGCTGCTCTTCTGACAGCTGGGGGTGGGGAGGGCTGGAGGCAGAGGCAACAGCAGTAGCAGTGGGCAGGTGCATTCCTTGGGGGAACTAAGGAAGGTGCCATCTGAGTGAGTAAGCCTGGGGAAGGGGTTGTGCCAGTGCCTCCCTCTCCTCCCCCACATTGTGGTCCAGGCTCCTGCCTCCTCTTCCCCCACACCTTTCCCTGGATGCCCTTCTCCACTCTGCTGGTCCTCACGTCAGTTTCTTCTCCCACAGACCACTGCTTTCCAGAAACAATGGGTGTCGCTGGACCCAGCTGGGACTCCGCCAGGCTCCGGCGCTCAGTCTGAGTGAAGGGCCTTCCCCAGCCCTGCTCCCCCTGCCTGTCATGGCCACGCTTGGCTGCTGTCTGCTTGTCTGGGGACAGAGGGCGTCCAGCCCCAGCCCTGGGGGGTTAAGCCAGGCCCTCTGGCTCCATTCCACAGGGGAACTCCGGGCACCAGCCGCCTTTCAAAGAAAGAGCAACTGATGCCATGGGAGAGCCCCTATGCACCTGTCCATTCGCCTGGCACTGTCTGCTCTGAGACCCAGGCATTAGGTCCCGCTGGAGGTGCCAACCCTGCACACCCCTCCCTGTCCCCCGACGCTGAGGAGGCCCTGCCCACTTCCGCCATGTGTGAAGTGATGCCCACAATCAATGAGGGGGACCCCCTGGGGCCCCCCCATGGCGCCGATGCTGACGCCAACTTTGAGCAGCTGATGGTGAACATGCTGGACGAGCGGGAGAAGTTGCTGGAGTCTCTTCGGGAGAGTCAAGAGACCTTGGCGGCCACACAGAGCCGCCTTCAGGATACCCTGCATGAGCGGGACCAGCTCCAGCGCCACCTTAACTCTGCCCTCCCTCAGGTAAGGCCTGGTAGTCTCCACCTGCCTCAACCCCTTCCCCTCCCCAGCCCTGCTGAGCCCAGCATCCTCTGGAATTCAGCTCCTCTGCATCTATTTGCATACCAACAAATTCACAGAGCATTTACTCTCCTTCATATGCCTGCCTAAATCCTTTCCCTGTCACTCCCAAGTGCTTCAGTCTGGAAGTGGCTTCACCTGGAGAAATGGATGGACTTTTGATGCAGAAAGAAAACCCATAGTTGCCAACTGCAGTGAGCCCGTGTAGCCAGCAGGTGGCAACCTAGGCTGGAACCACCGAGGCTGCTCTGCACCAGTGCTCTGTTCTTGAGGTGGTGGGAGGGGACTCAGACCATGCAAGCCTGAGAGATCACCTAGTCCTCTCTTATTGCACAAATGAACAAGCAAGAGGCATTACAGAGAAAATTACAGGCAGGAATGAATCCGCCTTGACACCTGTTTTTTATGCTCCTTAATTGATAACACTACTGCTAGCAATATAGTTGCCATTTGCTGTGTATTTTCTGTGTACTGGGCACTTTGTGTGGAATTTAACTCACTAAAGTCTCACAACTATGAACTTGGTACTATTACCGTCATATCTCTGTTTTACAAATGAGGAAACTAAGCAAACAGCCCACAACTGCCCAGCCTGTGGGGGGCTGTTGGGGGGTGGTGGGTAGCCAGGAGGAGCCAAACAGCTTCGTGTGGGGAGAAGAACTGGGTGGACCTGGGTGGCAGAACTTCCTGCTTGAGGCTCAGAAGTGATGGGGGGCAGTCTTGTGATGCTTTTTCAATATGGATATGGAGAGCTGAGGAGGGTGGCAACTGCTGTTCAGTCCCTCCCAGGGCCTAGCAGCCTCAGAGTTTGGGCCACCTATCTGGGAAACTTTCTGGAATTAGGTGATGGCTACTTAAGTAAGAAAGATATGATGGGTCTGGAACCGCAGGCCACCTGCTCACCTGCTATGCTTGTCCTGACAGAGGAGGGGGGGCTGGAAAGGTCTCTGAGGGTGTCTGGGCCACAGTGTAGAAATGGGGTGCCTCAAAGAGACACTTCAAGTGTGGGCAGGTGCTCTGGCATCAGGCGCCAGGATGCAGCCCTGGTGTGAGTGAGTGGGGGTCCCAGAATCCAGAGCCAAAGCCACAAGGCTGACTGGGCAGGTCTGCATGCTCTCTTGCTGCCATGTGGGCAGGTCCCGTGGTCCCACCAGCCACCTGCAGCTTGTGAAGCCCTGGGGTGAGGGTGGGAGAGCTCCCTGGCCACTTCCTCCAAAGCCCTTCTCTTCCCTCTAACACCCAGCACACCCTGTTTGGATCTCACTGCACCGAAGCAGAAGCACGGTTTCCCCATCAGTCTCTAAAGGGAGATGTGGCGGGATGCTGGGGCAACACAAACACAGGCGGGGGGAGGACGTGATCAGGTCGCACTGGTGGCGGGCGGAGGGGCTGCTGACCGGACTCTGCGACTTCCCTACTCTTGTAGCCAGTTCTCTTCTGAGTACCCTAACACATACTAGGTGTGTATAGAAGCCCCGGAGATGTGAACCCCCGGGGCAGCACACGCCAGCGGGGTTTGCTGCCCTGCCGTGCACAAGGCCTGGGGCAGGTGATGGAAATCAGGGGTAGGTGAGAGGATCCTCCGCTGACTTGGGCTTGGGGTGAATTCCCAAGCACTGAGGGGCCTCGGGGGCTTTCAGGAATTTGCCACCTTAACTCGGGAGCTGAGCATGTGCCGGGAGCAGCTTCTAGAGCGGGAAGAAGAGATAGCAGAGCTGAAAGCAGAGCGGAATAACACAAGGGTAAGTGGGGTGACGCTGTATGTGCATGTGAACCCCTCAACCAACGAGGCAGGCACAGCCGAGGCCAGGCGCATCCCCAGCCCCATCCTTACCCCTCTCTGCCTAACGTTCTGTGGTGAGAGTCCATGGTTCAGCCTTAGTGCTAGACCTCTCACCTGTAGTTGGGGGCCACGGGAGGGTGGGGTCCTGGGAGAGAGGCAGGGCATCAGCTGTTTACCAACATGGAAGTACTGCACCATTTTTACGATGGTATACACAGTTCTACTCCTGTCTGCTCGGCAGTCATGTGGACCCTGCTTACGGCCCTGGGGCACTGCTCACAGCCCTCCCTCTCACCCTCCTTTGTTCTCTGCCAGCTGCTTCTGGAACATCTGGAGTGCCTGGTGTCCCGCCACGAGCGGTCGCTGCGGGTGACCGTGGTGAAGCGCCAGGCCCAGTCACCTTCAGGGGTTTCCAGTGAGGTGGAGGTGCTGAAGGCCCTTAAGTCGCTGTTTGAGCACCACAAGGCTCTGGATGAGAAGGTACTCAGCCTGATCCACCTTCCCACCCAGCCAGGCTTCCCTGGGACCTCCCCTGTGGTGTCTGCGTCCTGTGTGGAGGGCAAGTTGCCTTTCACTTCCTGACTGGCTCCTCCCTATCACTGGCCTATTTTCCAGGTCCTCCTGTTGGGTTCCCTCTCAGAAATCTGCCTCTTGGCAGGTCCTGGTCTTTGCCTCACGCCCAGCAGTGGTAGGCCAAGCCCAGGCGCCTCCAGCCCGGGTCCAGTGCCGTCCCTGTTTCTTCCCCCCTCTCCCCTTACCTTGGGCAGGTGCGAGAGCGGCTCCGGGCGGCCCTGGAGCGAGTCACCACCTTGGAAGAGCAACTGGCAGGTGCCCACCAGCAGGTAAGCTGCCTGTCCACCACAGACTGTGGACCTCAGCTCCCAGAAGCCACGGTGGGTCTTCCCTGTTGCCCCCCTCCACTCCTCATTGGATTTCCCCCTGAGGTCTTGGCTGGTGGCTGCTAGCCAAGGTGAGGCTGGGCGGTGGCGGACTCAGAGAGTCTGTGATAGGTTTGGGAGGTTCTCTTTTCTTTGACTCATTGCCTTGGGGGCTGTGCCCTACAGGTGTCTGCCCTGCAGCAGGGGGCAGGGGTTCAGGATGGAGTGGCCCAAGAGGAAGGGACTGTGGAGCTGGGATCAAAAACCCTGTGGAAGGTGGGTCACAGAGAGCTGGAGAGCATGGGCAGGTCTTCCTCCAGACAGGAGATGCGGGCCCATCGGGCTTAGTTCAGAAGGGCAACTGCTTGAATTAAATTTGGGTCTTTCTCCAATATTCCCACTTCTCTTTCCTTCTTTCTCCCACTCCATCTGCAAAGAAATCTATAGATTTTTTTCCCCTGGTGTTCAGCACACTGCTGGGCATATAATGTGTGTGTCCCCCTGAATTGTTAGGTGCTATCTACCTTGTGTGTCAGCTTCAGCGAGATCCCTTCTTTCTCTGAGCCTTTGTTGCCCTAGTCAGGCCCCTTTCTAGATTATAAGATGCTGAGATAGCAGGTAAAACTAGAAACTATTGTTTTTCCTAGAGATGCACAGGAGAGGTAGGGTGTGTGGTCCCTGGGCGAGGGAAGACACACCTGGAGGTGTTCTCTGACACTGGGGACAGGGCTATGGGCCGCTCTGGGCATGCTGCCCCTCCTCCCACCTCCCCGGAGCAGGGCATGGGCGTGGGCTGCCCTGGGCTCCCATGACTGACTGATGGCTTACTGTCCCTGGAGGATGACGTGGCCCAGATGGAGGAGTTGCGGGAGCTCCTGGAGAAGCAGAACTTTGAGTTAAGCCAGGCCCGGGAACGAATGGTCACCCTGACAGCCACTGTGGCTGAACTTGAGGAGGACCTGGGCACAGCCCGCCGGGACCTCATCAGGTCAGAGGAGCTGAGCAGCAGGCATCAGCGGGACCTCCGGGAGGTGAGCAAGGGCCTTGCCTGTCCCCATCTTGCTGGATGCAGGTCTTCAGCCCTCAGGAGGACAGCTGCTTAGATGCCCTGGGTGTGGAGGGAGGGCCAGGGGAGGGCTGGGGTGTCAGACTGAGCACTCGGAGAGGTCCAGCATGGGAAGGAGAGGTGGGAGGGATGGACCGAGGCTAGAAACTGACAGGGCAGGTGCAGAGGACAGAGCCGGCCAGGTGTTTGTGGGGAGATGCAGACAGCATGGGAGCAGGAGAAGCTGGCGACCCTCCCTCCCGTCTCTCCCTCTCCTTCCCAGGCTGTGGCTCAGAAGGACGACATGGAGGAGCGAATCACCACCCTGGAGAAACGTTACCTGGCTGCTCAGCGTGAGGCCACCTCCATCCATGACCTCAACGACAAGCTGGAGAATGAGCTGGCCAATAAGGAGTCCCTGCACCGCCAGGTAACTCCTCCAGGTGGGGTAGGGGACACTGTACTTGATCCTGGAGGTGCTGATGATCACGCCGGAACCTTCCCTTGGTGGTCCAGGAGCCCCTGGAGTTCTGCAGGTCACCTTGGGAAAGAAGAATCAGGCATCTGGGTAGCCAAGAATCAGGGTGTCCCTTGCTGCCTCTGGCCTGTCACCTGCTCCCTGGGGAGGCTGGGGAGGGAGGTGGGGGAGGTTTCAGTGTCCCCTCTTGGCTCTCCTCCCTGCCTGCACTTTGCTAGTGTGAAGAGAAGGCCCGGCACCTCCAGGAGCTCCTGGAGGTGGCAGAGCAGAAGCTGCAGCAGACGATGCGCAAGGCTGAGACGCTGCCGGAGGTGGAGGCCGAGCTGGCCCAGAGGATTGCGGCCCTCACCAAGGCAAGCGGGCCCGGGGAGCTGCCTCTGTCCCCTGCTGCCTGAGCTCAGTGGGGCCGGGCGTGAGTGGAGAGAGCGGGACACATGATGGGCTGGGAGCCAGGAAAGTGTTTCTCACTCTGTGACTCCAGGAAACACATTATGTGTCTGTGCCTATTAGTGGGATGAGCAATGCCAGCCCTCATCACCCCATAGGTCCCATAAGAAGGGTTGTAAAAGTACTTCAGGAAGTAAAAGAGCCTGGGCTGATGCAAAGTATTTTTGTTATTATTTACACTACTGTGGTTAGTACTTCCTTCGGTTTTGGTCTGGAGTGGAAAAATGAGGGCTTTCATCTCTGGAAAGATGAAATCTGTGAGGAGATATGATCAAAGTCTATACATACCTGAAGGAGGTGGGGCTGGGAGTTTAGACCGAGCATATCATTCCTTATCAAATTGAAGCATTTTAGATCTAGGGACTACCTCTGGCTGCTTGAAGTCTGCAGTTTAAGATGAATAAAAGGGAATATAATTTTACCCCAGGGATAGTTAATTGTATGGAGTATAATCCCTAAGAGATGTGCAGGCAGGAAATATCATAGATTCTGGAAGAGCTGGGTAAATGCATGGACTAGACATGTGGTGGGTGAATCAGGAGAATGTAGGAGTGTCTGCAGAGGGTCAGCTGCTTTAAGGAGGGCCTCATTGGGGATTACCATAGCTACCCCCAACCTATGGAGAGAAGGAAACCAGAATGTAGTAAGCACTTGGCGCCAGAGCTTGTAGATGGTAGAGGCTGGCCAGTGTGTCACTGTGGTGCTGGGGATGGAACCCTCAGCTTGGCAGCACCTCAGGAGACCCAGGACCAAGCCTGCTTCTGCCACTGACTGGCTCTGTGGCCTGGGAAAAGCCACTTCCTCCCTAATCAGGCATCAGTGTCATCATCATCTGTGATGATGCCATCATCTCTATGCTGACAGGGTTGGATGTGGTCTCAGGTCTTCCCAGGAATGAAGGGCAGGGTTGAATTGGCTAATATGTTCAAGTGAGTCATAGTAGAAGGGCTTTAAGAAGGGATTTCCTGACTAAGATGTGTGATAGTCTGGACTACCTACCTTATCAACAGAGGCAGCGGGGTCTCCGTCTCTGGTGGTACATAAATGGAAGGGGAGACATTCCACCTGGACTAGTTTAATAACAGAGGCAATAACCATGGCTAGCGTTTGTGAGTGCCTACTGTGTCCTAAGTATTTGCCATGGATTATCTCAGCTAGTCCTCGCAATGGCCAGTCGGCACAGATGCTGTTATTACCTAGGTTTAACAGTTGAGGAAACTAAGGCACATAGGTGTCCAGTGACTTGACCGAGGTCACACCTCTGAGGGGAGAGGGAACCCGGATGAACCTGGCAGTCTGGCTTGAGTTCATGCCCTTAACTGCAGGTCCATCCTTCTGGAGGCGTTGGAGAGATTTATAGTAGCTCATGCTTTGAAGTGAACTTTTGTCTGGAAGTATAGGGAAAACTTACAGTCTCTTGAGCTGCCTTCTCCAGGATGCTTTAAGGCAGGCCCTGAGCAGGAAGCAGTGGGTGGAGGGAACATGGCAGGGGTTGGAGCGCTGGGGAAGAAGGTAGTGGTGATGGCAGTTGAGCTCCAAGAGGACCGCTTGAGGGCTGGGCTCTGTTGGTACCCGAGGCCCTGATCGCAAAGACCACCTCGGCACCAGGGTATGTGGGATGCGAGGCTTGAGCAGGCGGGCAGATGTCTCCAGGCTGCACTTACCCCTTCCTGCCTCCAGGCTGAAGAACGGCATGGCAACATTGAGGAGCATCTGCGGCAGCTGGAGGGGCAGCTGGAGGAGAAGAACCAGGAGCTGGCGAGGGTGAGGGCACTGCACTGGGCTCTTGGGCTCTTGGGCTGCCCTGCTGGATGGTCTGTGGACAGGCCAGAGGAAGAGTGGGAGCTGGGGAAGGGCCTGGCCAGGGACAGCACCATAGACGGACGGGAGGAGGTGGTCAGGGGAGCTGCGGAAAGTGGAGAGGGGCTCCTGGAGGAGGAGAAGGGGGCAGGTGGATAGGGTGGAACGGCTGCGGGAATGGGTGACTGCAGGGAGAGGCAGCCCTGGCCTGATATGAGATGGGCGGCTATGCAGGTGCGCCAGCGGGAGAAGATGAACGAGGACCACAACAAGCGGCTGTCAGACACCGTGGACCGGCTGCTCAGCGAGTCCAACGAGCGCCTGCAGCTCCACCTCAAGGAGCGCATGGCGGCCCTGGAGGAGAAGGTGCTGTGGGTCTAGGGCCGAACTGGGCGGGGCTGCCTGGGGGCGGGGCGATGGCGTGGGCGGGGTTAGGCGAGACCAATCGGGAAGGGACAGGGCTGGGAGGCGTGGGCGGGGCGGGGCCGAGATTGCGGGCTGCGTGGGCGGGGCCGTAGGGGAGCTGGAAAAGCGAGAGGCAGGCGGCTCGTAGAAGTGGGGCTGCGGGAGCAGGCCCGAGGGGGAAGGCGCAGCCCGAGCTGCAGGGGAGGAGGCAGGGCGGGGCCCGGCTCACTGCTGTGCCTCCCCAGAACACGCTGATGCAGGAGCTAGAGAGCTCCCAGCGGCAGATCGAGGAGCAGCACCGCCACAAGGTACCCCGCTGCCGGCCGACCCTTCCCGCCTGGGAGGGCGCGGGCCTCCGTGAGGAAGGAACCCACGTGTGTTTCAAGCAGCTGCTCTGATTCCCAGCACTGTTCTAGCGCATTTGTTAGTCCGACTACGTACTTACTAATCCTCACTAGAGCCGGTGACAGTAGACTCACCACCACCCACCTGTAAAGAACAAACGGAAGCCATAAATAGGGCCGAGAGCGGGCAACAGAGGCAGGGCCCAGTGAAGGACCCCACAGAAGGATTTGGTGGGGCCTCAAGCCTGGCGAAGCCAGAGTCCGGGGATGCTGGGACGTTTAGCCGCCATCCCTGCCTCACGATGTCTGTGAGGTCTGGGGGCGGGGGCGCGGGGGGCTCCCCTGCTGTCAGCCCCAGTTGCCACGCACTGAGTAGCGGTGAAGGCTCAGCAGGCCTGTTCTGGTGGAGTCCTTCCCTGGACCCCTCTCCTGGCCCCGCCTCTCTGCCTGCCTGCTGCCCACCCTCTGCTCACTTTCCAGTTGGACCTTTTCCTTTTTTGATGTCATCTGTGGTCCTGGCCTGGGGCCCCTGGCTTTGGACTCTGCGTTCTTCTACTGCCCCCCAACTCTGCTGCCCTCTTTGTCCCCCTCTCCCCTCTCTGCCCCTCCCTGGCCCCCACCCCCACCCGGGTCTGCCTGGCACAGGGCCGCCTGTCTGAAGAGATTGAGAAGCTGCGCCAAGAGGTGGACCAGCTGAAGGGTCGAGGGGGGCTGTTTGTGGACGGCATCCACTCCAGGTACTAGAGTGCGGAGGCTGGGTGTGCTGGCACGGGGCCCTGGATGGACGCTGAGGAAGGAGATCCTCCCATCAGAAGGCCGCGCAGGTCCTACTCAGGGTGGGACACCAAGGCTCGGAGAACTTGGTCAAAGTTATCCAGGTCACTTGGGCATTTTAGGAGGGAGTGCCTGTTCTGAGGGATGCTGACGGGCAAGTAAAGCACAGGCCATGCTTCCTGCCTCCTTAACGGAGGGCATGCCCTTGCAAGGGGTTTGCTGGGCTACATGCCGACCCATGTTGCACAGGCCCTGCTCATGCAGAGGGTCTGGTTCACTCTAGCTACTTGAGACACTGTCTTTAGGGCTTTGGAGGATTGCTCCTTGAGAGGTGAGGACCACCTGGGTTCAGGAAGCAGGCAGCAGGCAGAAAGGCAGGAGGAGAGATTGATGAGGCATCAAGAGCTTAGTACCGTTGGAAGTTGAGAGGCGATGCTGCATGGTTGTGGCATCCTTTCCCCGAAAACATTTTAAGAGATGGTGAGTGGAGCTTTCCACTAATGCTTGAATTAGGTCCACATTTTAGGGAACTTCTGGATTCTTCTGCACACTCTGTAAAGCCATTGACATTGAACTCAGACCTCAAGCCTGCTCCAAGTTCTCTGCCCAGAGAGGCAGAGTGAAGAGCATGGAGACTGTAGTGGATGGTGCCTCTCACGGTTCATGGCTCCCAGCTGTTTTCTCTCCAAATCAAAGGCTCTCGGAGCCTTTGAGGTTCTCTTCAGTCATGCTTTTGCTGTAGCAGGGAAATAAAGATCAGCTTCCCCAAAGAGAGGTTAAAGGACGTGTTTGTGTGCGTGCGTGCGTGTGTGTGTGTGTGTGTGTGTATGGGTAGGGCCTGAATTAGGGAACATTAGGGACATTGAGCTTGCAGAAGAGAAGGAAGCCTGTGAGTTCTGGGGTGGTGGAGACTTAAGTACCATCTTCAAGTTCCCCAGAAATGACTGTGTAGGAGAGTGAAGAGAAGCAGGGAATGGAGACAGCGAGCAGTAGTTGGGATATCTCTGAATTCTCCCTGTGGGTCACTCAGAAGAGACCCCCCCTCCCCTCCTGCCAGTTAATAAAACATGGCCCAGAGAACACCAAGCAGTTTGCCACTCCGTGCTTTCCTTAATGGTTGGGAATTCTTGACTTTGAATGTAGAAGCACTGGGCCCATGGTGGCTTTGGGACTGGGTTTTGGGGGAGAAAGCAGAGGAGCAGAAAGTCCCCCTCCCTGCAGCTACATAGTGCAGTCTGTAGGCACACCGTGTCCTTTGGTGCTGGGCTCCCTCAAAGGTTCCACACTGAAGGCAGAGGGAAGTGTTAGCACTAGGGGAGACTTCTAGATACCCCAGATGATCACTACTGGGATCCTAAAATCTTGGGGTTGGAACAAACCCTTGGGGCAGTTGTAGTGGTTTCTCTAGCTCAGGTCTCTGATAATGGTGTCAGGGCCTCCCTAGGCTTTCTGGGGATAAGTCATATGCCTGGGTTGAATTTTGGCTAGGGACTCAGTGCAGATTATGGGGAGACCTGAGGAAAGTTGTCAGGGAGAAGACCAAGAAACAAAGACCGTCAGAGTTAAAAGGACCTTTGGAGGTCATCCCTTTCAACCCCTGTTAGCACTGGGAGCCCTGCCACACTATTCCTGTTGGATGGTGAGGGCCTCTGCTTGAAAAGCTCTTTGATGGGGAACTCAGCCTCTTTAAAGCCACCAGTTCCATCATAAGCCAACTCTTACTATCTGAAGGTGCTTCTTAGCTTAAATGAAAAGCAGCCTTTCTAGAACATTCTCCCCTGGGTTATTTTGATCCCTGGAGCACCAGAATAAATCTAATCTCTTGTTTACATGGCAGCCCTTAAAACATGTGCAATAGCTCTATGTCCTGCTAAGACTTCTTTTCTCCAAGCTGAAGATCCCTTCATTCTTTGGGCCCAGGGGATGTGAGCTGGGGCTGTCAATCCTCAGGGCTTCTCTGTTTTTTTCTCTGCTGTCTCCCCAACTCAAGGTCACCACATGTGGGCAGTGCAGCTGATGTGCGGTTTTCCCTGAGTGCAGCCACCCACGCACCCCCCGGTCTGCAGCGCCGGTATTCAGCGCTGCGGGAAGAGTCGGCCAAGGTGAGGGGGTGGAGGGGTGAGTGTCCAGGGAGACTCTCAGGGGAGTTCGGGGTCAGTCCAGCCGCGGCCTGGCTCCAGTTTCACAGATGGCTGGTGTGCAGTGCAAATCCTCCCCCTCCTCTTCCCCTCTCTGCCCACCCCCCAAGCCCACAACAGCTGCAGCTCTGGGGTTGGGGCCATGTCAGCTGCAACAGCTGTGTCCCACCCCTTGCCTTGGCCTCCTGGTGGGCAAGAGGTGGGGGCTGGCGGGCAGCCAGCTGGTCCTGGAGGCCCCACTGAAGCATGTGCACGTGTGCCAGGCATGCGGGCGTGTGCTTCTGGTGGTTGGGGTGGGGGATGCAGGGGCAGGAGAGGACTGGCAAGCTTTCTGGAAAAGAGCTGTGGTTTATGGGGGATGTGGAAGGGATGACAGGTTAACTCGCCCTGGGATGGCACCTGAAGTTTTCTGAGAAGCGGCTGTGAATTCATGCTGAGTCTGCCTGGGGAGACAGGGGTAGGGGGGAACAGGAGAAGATAGAAAAGGCAAAAAAGGAACAACTTCCATCTTTTGGGGAAGCATGATTCTTTCCCAGCCCCATAATTGTTAACCATGCTGCAGACTGCTAGAAGATACAGGCAGAGAAGGTGGGAACTCCTGGTCTGATGGGGGAAGCTTCATCTCTACCCTCAGTCTGATGGGGAATCACAGTCTGAAGGCTCCTCTTTCTCTCTCCCCTCACTCCTTTTCTCTCTCTGTTTGTAAGAGCACAGCAGCTGCCCAGGAGCTCAGACTCAAGGCTGTAGGAGCCAGAAAAGAGCCCTCAGGGGACTTGGGCGTTTGGGTCATGGAGGATGGCATAAGTGTGCACCTCTCTGTCCCTGGCCCCTGGCCTCTCTCTTCTTCCCCCTGCTCTGCTGTCTCTCCCAGCCCAGCTCTGTGCTCTTTCCTCTTCTGGGCCTTCATTCACCAAAGAAGTTTGTAGGATGATTGCCAGGAAACCACCCCCCCGTCAGAGTAGAGTAGATGTGATGTGCTGACACTCCAGGAGACACCAGATAGCTAGGCCTTCTTGGCCTTTTCTTGTTCCCTGGATCTGGTTATGCCTTGAGAGCCTGTATTAATAGAAAGGGTAGCCTTTGTGTAGTGCTTACTTTGTGTCAGACCCCATGCTAACTGCTCACGTGCATTTCCTCATTTAATCCTCACTACCACCAGTGAAGTAGGTACTCTTACTGTCTCCATTTTACAGATGAAGAAATGGAGGCACAGAGGGGCACAACTTCCTCAAGGTTGCACAGCTAGTATTTGGTGGAGCTGGGATTCAAAGCAAGACAGTCTCTCTCTGGACTCTGTTCCTAACCACTCTGCTACCTAGCTCTTTGAATTACAGTAATACATCTTAGACTTTAATGTCAAATAAATCACCAGGAGATCTTGTTAACATGCAGATGCAGTATGAGGAGATCTGGGGTGGGGCCTGAGGTTTTGCATTTCCAGCAAGCTCCAAGGAGATGACTGCTGCCAGGATGCCTGGGAGGGTCCTGCTCCTCAGCCACTGGGGTGTCTTATTACTACTCTGTCCTTCTTTGCTAAGGACTGGGAGCCATCTCCACTGCCTGGGGTGCTGGCTGCCACAGCTGCCCCTGCCTTTGACAGTGACCCTGAGATCTCTGACGTGGATGAGGATGAGCCAGGGGGTCTGGTGGGCTCTGTGGATGTTGTCTCCCCCAGTGGCCACTCAGACGCCCAGACCCTGGCCATGATGCTGCAGGAGCAGCTGGATGCCATCAACGAGGAGATCAGGTTAGGGCGGGGAGGCCGGCCTGGGCGGTGCCTTGCAGGATGGGGCCCCTGTGTGCATGGGCACTGCAGGAAAGCATTGCCATGTATTTGCTTGTCTCTTGCGGTTGGACCTGAGAGCATCACAGCCTAAGGACCCTGGGTGGGGCATCGGGCAAGGTTCCGGCCCAGGGGAGGATGAGATCTCAGATTCACTTCTCAGGCTTCCTTTCCCTCTCCTGGGCTTAGGAGGCTGTGTTCCTGCAGCTGAACATAATCACTAAGAGTGTAGCTACCACTTACTGAGACCAACTCAAGGTGAGAGCTTGTAAATGCTATTGTCAGTCTCACCACAGTCTCTGGGGAGGCAGCATTATTTCCATTTTATGGACAAAGGAACAGAAACCAGAGAGGTTAAGTGATTTTTCCCAAAGCCACACACAATAAGAGGCAGAGCCAGGATGCAAACTCATGTCTAACCTCTTTGAAGTGCACTTTCCCCTGTCTTTGAAGAGAGTTTATCAGTGTTTATGACAAATGTCAAGGGAAAATCTGAGCTAGAGTAGGTCAGAGCTTCCAGGGCTGTAGAAGGCATCAGGTTCAGTGGTTCTTGCTTTCAGGTTTTACAGACCTGTTGCAACGGAAACATTATGCATGCACACACACACACACACACACACACACACGCACATGCACACACACACAGGTACTAACATAGGACTGCCAACTTTTGTTCTGCAAAATAGAACATTAAAGATAACCAGCCTTCAAAAGAAGGGACATTTAAAAATCCCTGTCGCTGGAAAGATGTACTCTTAGAACAGAAGCAAGTCCTGTGCTGGAAGGACACTTGGCATCTTAATATCACTGCATGTACGTGTGTATGTGTGAGTGTGTGTACACACACTCCTCTCTGAGTGCCCCTGTGCTCATACAACACTGTCATGGTTTTCCCTGGCAATGGGAAAACTCCCTCAGGAGTCAGCATCATTTAAAGGCCCTGAATTTGGGAACTGCTGACCTAGACCACTCCTGACATCAGGTGTACCAGGAAACTGAGGCCAGAGAGCAAAGTGCTGGATCCAGGGTCACCCGTGTACTTAGCGGCAGGCCAAGAATTCTGATTCCCAGGAAGGCATGTATTCCACTGACATAAATGGCCTCCTTTCTCAGCAACTGCTTTTGTTAAACTGGGGAGTGTTGTCACATTAGGCCAGCTAACGAGAAAGAGAGAAATGTGTTTCTGAGCTGCAGTGGGGGAGAACCAGCTATGCACACGAGGCTTTCTAAGTCCAAGCAGTGCCAGGAACCTTCTAGGTTTGGGAAGGGCCTGTGTAGGGTTTGCCTGGGCACTGCGGTCGGCCTGGGATCACCGGGGTGAGCGCCGGCAGGGCCCACCTGCTGCCTCCTGCTGCTCCTTGCTGGGGCTGAGGACGAGGTCTGGTTTTGCCTGCATCCCAGGATGATCCAGGAAGAGAAAGAGTCCACGGAGCTCCGCGCTGAGGAGCTTGAGACACGAGTGACCAGTGGCAGCATGGAGGCCCTAAACCTGGCCCAGCTGCGCAAGCGTGGTTCCATCCCCACCTCTCTGACTGCCCTGTCCCTGGCCAGCGCGTCCCCTCCACTCAGCGGCCGCTCCACACCCAAGCTCACCTCCCGCAGTGCTGCCCAGGACCTCAACCGAATGGGGGTCATGACTCTGGTGAGAGTCTTGGGGCAGTTGACAGACAATCTGTCATCACTGGGCTCTGCTCTGGGGCCTGGCGGAGGGAAGTTGGTGAGGCATGGTGGGGCTCGCTTGCTCTCAGCTGGGCCCAGCGTCTCCGCCTATGATGTGTGCAGACCAGCTTGTCCAGCTGCCAACGTGGCCTGGGTTGGGGAAGGGCCTATGTAGTGTCTTCCTCACCCTCTCCCTTGGATAAGCACAGAATGCTTAAGAAGCTCCCCTGCTGCCCACACCTCATCCCCTCTTCCAGCTTTTTTTCTGCTGTGATATTCTCTCCAGGCCTGTGTGAGGCACTGAATCCTATCTTCCCATCCTCAGACCACTGGGCTCCCCTTGGGGTTGACTTTCAGGCATCCAGAGGGTGAGTCCAAACCCACCCTTCCCTCTTTTTTCCAGCCCAGTGACTTGAGAAAGCACAGGCGGAAGCTGCTGGTAAGTGCTGCCTGGTGACCCAGTACTAGCTGGTTAATTCTCCCAGGCCCTTCCCTTTGGCTTCTCCCCGGGGCCCTAGAGTCTGATCCTGAACCCAGAGAGGCCCCTAGCGGCCCCCTCTGCCTTTCTCCATGCTCCCTTGCCTCATCTGGGCTGGGTAGGCAGGCCCCAGATCCCTCCCTCTACCCCCTGACGGCTCCACTGTCTGTTCAGTCGCCAGTGTCTCGGGAAGAGAACCGAGAGGATAAAGCCACCATACAATGTGAGACTTCTCCTCCTTCCTCACCCAGGACGCTGCGGCTAGAGAAGCTTGGCCACCCAGCCCTGAGCCAGGAGGAAGGCAAGAGGTAAGTGGAGCAGGTCTCCACCCCTTCCGTGTGCCTCTGGAAGGACTCCGTCTCTCCTGTCCCAGGTGTCTGAACATCTTACTTCTCTTTGAAACACCATCAGCGAAGGACATTCCCATGTTTTCTTTGGTCACCTGCTCTGATCTTAGTCCCCGTCCCCACCCCCAACTCTGACACTTGCTGTCAGTTCCTCCTGTGGCCGAGCGCATCTTTCCTGCTGTGACTTACATACATTTCTTCTCATTCCGCCCCCTCCTGGCTGTCATCCTGCAGTGTTTTGGAGGACCCAGGCAGCACCCCCAGCAGCAGTAACAGCAGCCAGGACTCCTTGCACAAGGGCGCCAAGCGCAGGGGCATCAAGTCGGCCGTCGGCCGCCTGTTCGGGAAGAAGGAGAAGGGCAGGCTGGTGCCGCTGAGCCGGGACGGAGCCACGGGCCACGGTCTCTGCTTGCTAGCACATGGGTGCCAGTAGGGGGACCAGAAGCAGGAGGGTATCCACCTGTCTCCCAGGGGTCAGTGGGTGGAAGCCACAGGCAGGCACATTTCAGCTCCAGAGAAGCTTGGAGCTGTTTCTCAGTGGGAAGGACTGCCCCATGAGGTGGTAGCTCCTGCATGAGAAGTGTCAGGTGGCAGAGAGATGGCAGTTTATTTGGTCTGGGGTAGAAGGGATTCCTGTATTGAGTGGGAGACAGACCTCTGAGATTCCATCTACTTGGGAGGTTTTCTGATGTACTGTGCTCAGGAGCTTCAGGGGAAATGTCTTGGTTCTTTCTTTAGGAGAGCCAGTTCTTGATAGAACTTATTTCTAGTACATTTGGCCTCCAGGACTCAAATTATCACAATGCCCAGTTGTGGCTGGGTAGACATTACCTTCATAAGTGCTTGGGCCTGGTAGCTGTATTGCCCCCTGGGACCATGCAGAGTTCCCGCACTTGCCTGGCATGTGGTGGGTACACAGGGAATGTTAGCTGCCTTCCTTTCCCTTCTCCCAGTCCTTCTTTCCTTTCTTCCCTCCACTCCCTTCTTCCTCCTCCTTCCCTCATCTATGGGGTCATTTGTTCAAATGACATTTATTGTGTCACGGATGTACACAAAGCTACGTGGGAGGTGCTGGAGCAACGGTCCACATTCACGGTGCTAAGTGTTCAGCAAAGAGGAAAACTAAAGAGATGATTCCAAAACACCGTAGCGATAGCGATAAGCTCAGGGTGCTTCTGGAACTCAGAACTCAGCTGCGTGTGGCTGGGATGACGGGAGTGGCTTCCTCTGCTAGGCAATGCCTGGGCTGACACGTGAGGGCTAAATAGAAACTTACTTAAGCCAAGGGGAGGTGTTTGTGTGAGGGGACAGGGGCTCTGGGAAAGGGAAAGGTAGGGTGTGAGAGTTCTGCATGCAGTGGAGTGTATCCAGGTGGGGAAGGAGCAGGGGAGGATGGGGGAGAAGGGTTTGGGCCCTAGGCTCATAAGGGCCTTGCACAGTCCGATGAAGAGATTTACAAGTTCCCCTGGTGCATTGCCGAATTTCATTTAGGGGAGAAGCCTGATCAATTAGAAGGAAGGACCCTTTGGACCCAAATGCATAATTATTCCTTCGTGCACCTAGGGAAAGTGTGCATCAGTGCAGAGCCGGCTGAGGGAAGGAAAGGCAGGCTTCCTTGGATGTGGTGTGCAGCAGCACCAGCAGGGAATTGGGGGAGCACCCTGCCCTGAGTCCAGAGGGGGGATGCGGCCTGGCTGTATGGGTTTCATCTGCACCTTGGTTTGGAGGAGGGATGGGTTCTCTCCGCTGCCTGGGGATGACTCTGGTCTGTCTGGCTGGAAAGCACCTCCAGGGCTGAGGCTTCCATGGGGAGATCCACTCAATGCCACTGTGGGGCCACCTGGATGCAGGAGTGTCAGGTGGCAGCTCCAGGAGCAATGGGCACCCCCTTCAGGCCCTTTGGATAGTTGTAAGCTGAGAGCCTCCTGCTGGTCTGTTCCCCAGTCCTTGCCAAGGCCAAGTCCGGAGAAGCAGAGGGCCAGGCTGATGTGCCATCTCTTCCCTTCTAGTTTTGCTAACAGACTCCGAGCTCGGTCTGCAGGAGCCCATGGTGCCTGCCAAGCTGGGGACACAGGCAGAGAAGGACCGGCGGCTGAAGAAGAAGTAAGAGCCTCAGGCCAGGCTCTGCCAGAGTGGGGTCCAGCCCCTTATCCTCTGTCCTTCCCCTGCCTTGGGGCTGAGCTCAGGCAGCCAGAGCCCAGCAAGGCCCTTCCTGAACTGAGTTGGCCTGGTCCATGTGGGCACAGCGGAGGCTGGGAGATGGTGCTTAGGATGGCCTGGGGGAGCAAGAGGTCAGGGGGCTGTGGGAGAGTGACCCCAGTGGCGGGGAGCAGGGATGGTGAAGGTTAAATCTGGTACAGCCCGCAGTCCCTGGGAGAAAGCCTGGTGGAGGGAAAAGGAGGGGCTGGTGAGTCTGTTGTTTCTCTTCCTGCAAGACACCAGCTGCTTGAAGATGCCCGCAGAAAAGGAATGCCCTTTGCTCAGTGGGATGGCCCTACTGTGGTATCCTGGCTGGAGGTGAGCCTAGACAAAGGGGTCTGCCCAGGGGTCTGGCGGGAAGAATGTGTGGGGTGGGATGAGGACTCCTTGGGTAGAGGGGGTAGTGTCCTTAGCCAGGTAGCCCATACCTACCATTCAGGCTCCCTACCCCTACTCCCCAACAAACACTCATACCAGTTGCTTCGGAGGACAGAACTGATGCCACTTGCTGATGCCTCACAAGTAGCTACCCTGGGATAAGAGGAACTAAATTATCACCAGGCCATAGGCTTTCACAGGAAGTCCGACTCTTTCCATAGGCTGCACCCCGGAGCCAAACACCCATGTGACGTTGGGAAAATCCCTTTAGCTTCCCAGGCTTCAGGTTTTTTCATCTGTAAAATGGGAAAGAAGGCATTTGATAATGGCCATCTCCACGTGTCTCACTTCCTCTGCCCTGCACTTGCTGCACTTGCTGCTCGGAGTCCGTGGATGAGGCCTGGGCCCTGCCCCTCTGTGTTGCCAAGCTCATGGCAGTGGGGCACAGATCCTGCGGAAGGGGCTAATTTATAAAGCCGTGCCCCATATCTGCAGCTCTGGGTGGGGATGCCTGCCTGGTACGTGGCAGCCTGCCGGGCCAACGTCAAGAGTGGTGCCATCATGTCAGCCCTGTCGGACACAGAGATCCAGCGGGAGATTGGCATCAGCAATGCCCTGCACCGCCTCAAGCTCCGGCTGGCCATCCAGGAGATGGTGTCGCTGACCAGCCCCTCTGCCCCGCCCACTTCCAGGACTGTGAGTGGCCTGTCCCTCACCCAGGACATTTCCAGAAGCCCCACAATAGTGCTGCCAAGTCTCCCAGTGGTCTTGGGAAGATGGTAGCCCTGGGTCCTGCCCTGTAATTCCCATCCCCACAAAGGGCTCCACCTGGTTTCCCGGAGGCAGTGACATGGATTCTAGGGGTATCCCAGCACCCATGTACCACCCATGGGCTCCATCTTCCCATCCTAAGCTGTCAACAGTTCTAGGTCTCTGGGATGTTTCTAGGACTGGACATGCTTCTGTGTTGTTAGACTGAGACTGAGGGAAACAGAGGGAGGGGCTCCTCGTGAATTATGGTCCCCCAGCCTCTCCACAATAATGCAGACTATTCGGCAGGATCCACCGGGGTAAAAACCTTCCCTGTAGTCCATGCCTGCAGTCCGCCTCATTCCGGATACACACTGGTCGTTCACATTCATTCAGGAAACAGTTGTCAGGCACTTCTCTGGGCTGGGTGCTGTGCTAACCAGTGTGGACACAGATGACAAAGGGCAGTTGCTCAGAGCTGGACAGTGTGCAGAGCGGTGGGCCGGGCCTGTGGGAGGAAGGCCCAGGGGAGGTGGGCTTTGTCCTATTGTCAGGGCTCCTAGCTGGTGGGGACCCTGGGCACCCACACACAGGACCAGCTAGGGTTCCTCTCTGCCTGCAGTCTTCCGGGAATGTCTGGGTCACCCATGAGGAGATGGAAACTCTGGCAACATCCACTAAAACAGTAAGTGGAGCCTGGCCCCGGCTGTGCGGGGCTGATGACGGCCACAAGGGTGAGGGGCAATGTGGGAAGCCAGAGGCGTGCAGTTGAGCCGATCCGAGGCTGGCATCCTTGATGGGACTGCGTTCTGTTTTCAGGCTGTTGGGCTGCAGGAGAGAAGAGAATGGGAAGAGTGGGGGGGTCCATTCCAGGGGATCATGGGGTGCCCCTCACTCGCTGGCATGCTGCAATGGAGGAGAGCTGGGCTTGGGGGCGCCCCGCCCTGCTGGGGGCTGGAGCCACAGAGTCCTTGCCCTTGTGCTTGATCCTTGGGGGCGGAGCTGGGGCTGGGGAAGCCTGGCCCCTTGCCACGCCTGGGTGGTGCAGGAGCAGGTTTTGGCTCCCCTCTCACCACAACTACAGGCACAGGCAACAGCTTGCTGTTCTCTCCTGACCCGTCCCCCACCCAGCTATAGGGGCTGCCGCCTTTCCCAACGGGGCCCGGGGCGGGGGCTGCGGGGTGTCCTGACTTTGCCTGTCTCCCTTGACACGCTGCACTCGCTCCTGCTAGGACAGCGAAGAGGGCAGCTGGGCTCAGGTAAGAGCCTCCCCCTGACTAGACCTGACCCTCGAGCTCAGCCCAGTACCCCCAGCAGGCTCTCTCCCTGGCAGGACTCTGAGTCCCAGTTGATTTATGTTCCTCTCCGCACCCAGGTTCTCTCCTTCTAACGAAGCTCCTCCCTCCTCCCTCTCCTTTAGCCCCTTGTTCTGGTTGCTCAGGATGGCAGGGGTGGAGGCCTGGAAGGCTGCGCCCCAGCATGCCTGCCTCTTCCCCTCAGTTTGACTCTTCCCAAGAATAATGAGACTTAGATCCAGACGAGGCCTTTTCCTCTCCCCATCCTCTCAGGGGCACCCCAGTGAGCTGGGCAAAGGCCTTGCATTCATTCACTTAGCAAATTTTATTGAGCAGCTACTTGGTATTAGGCCTTCCTAGGCTCTCTGGATACAGAAGTGAACAAACTAAGCCCTCATAGAGTTTATGTTCTGGGGGAGAGATTGGCAGAAAACAAGGGCAACATGCAGGCAGCTGAAAGGGCCATGGGCAGCACTGTTACACTCGCAGGGACACCGGTCCACAGGCGCCTTGGACAGATCAGTCATGGTAAATTCACAACAGAAAAACATTGAGCAGGTAAGTGGATGAATCTTAGAAATACAATGTCAAGTGCAAAACATTAAGTCCCAAAGATGTATAGAATTTTATGCTGAAACCCAAAAGCAAACAAATCTAATAGTATATTGTTTGGAAAGTAGACATTGGTGACTGTAAAACTAAAAAATTTTTGTCATGCAAGGGAATGACAGGAACCTCAGCACAGTGGTTCCTTCTAGAGGGGCAGCAGGGGACAGGAGGGGAAGAAGAGCCTAGGGGTGGATTTGACAGTGTGGATAACATGACAGTGTCCATAGATGTTAATTTTATTTTTTTCTGCTCGAAAACAAAATATGCTACATATATTTTTACATGTGGAAATTATTAAAAAAGATAAGATAAATTTTTCAATCTAAGAAAGTCATAGTGATGAAGGGTAACTGTTAAACCTGTCTTTCTAAGGATAGGTGGTCAGGGAGGTGCCCATTTCTGGCCCAAGGAAATGTCTAAACAGAGCGGGTCTCAGGACCAGGCAGGGCGGCCTGTGGGGTCCTCTGTAATGCAGCCTGTCCCCTGGGCTCAGCAGGCTTGAGGCTGAGTGAGCCTCAGGAAGGCAAGTCTGCACATAAGGGCCTTGCACAGTCCGATGAAGAGATTTACAAGTTCCCCTGGTGCATTGCCGAATTTCATGTAGGGGAGAAGCCTGATCAATTAGAAGGAAGGACCCTTTGGACCCAAATGCATAATTATTCCTTCGTGCACCTAGGGAAAGTGTGCATCAGTGCAGAGCCGGCTGAGGGAAGGAAAGGCAGGCTTCCTTGGATGTGGTGTGCAGCAGCACCAGCAGGGAATTGGGGGAGCACCCTGCCCTGAGTCTAGAGGGGGGATGCGGCCTGGCTGTATGGGTTTCATCTGCACCTTGGTTTGGAGGAGGGATGGGTTCTCTCCGCTGCCTGGGGATGACTCTGGTCTGTCTGGCTGGAAAGCACCTCCAGGGCTGAGGCTTCCATGGGGAGATCCACTCAATGCCACTGTGGGGCCACCTGGATGCAGGAGTGTCAGGTGGCAGCTCCAGGAGCAATGGGCACCCCCTTCAGGCCCTTTGGATAGTTGTAAGCTGAGAGCCTCCTGCTGGTCTGTTCCCCAGTCCTTGCCAAGGCCAAGTCCGGAGAAGCAGAGGGCCAGGCTGATGTGCCATCTCTTCCCTTCTAGTTTTGCTAACAGACTCCGAGCTCGGTCTGCAGGAGCCCATGGTGCCTGCCAAGCTGGGGACACAGGCAGAGAAGGACCGGCGGCTGAAGAAGAAGTAAGAGCCTCAGGCCAGGCTCTGCCAGAGTGGGGTCCAGCCCCTTATCCTCTGTCCTTCCCCTGCCTTGGGGCTGAGCTCAGGCAGCCAGAGCCCAGCAAGGCCCTTCCTGAACTGAGTTGGCCTGGTCCATGTGGGCACAGCGGAGGCTGGGAGATGGTGCTTAGGATGGCCTGGGGGAGCAAGAGGTCAGGGGGCTGTGGGAGAGTGACCCCAGTGGCGGGGAGCAGGGATGGTGAAGGTTAAATCTGGTACAGCCCGCAGTCCCTGGGAGAAAGCCTGGTGGAGGGAAAAGGAGGGGCTGGTGAGTCTGTTGTTTCTCTTCCTGCAAGACACCAGCTGCTTGAAGATGCCCGCAGAAAAGGAATGCCCTTTGCTCAGTGGGATGGCCCTACTGTGGTATCCTGGCTGGAGGTGAGCCTAGACAAAGGGGTCTGCCCAGGGGTCTGGCGGGAAGAATGTGTGGGGTGGGATGAGGACTCCTTGGGTAGAGGGGGTAGTGTCCTTAGCCAGGTAGCCCATACCTACCATTCAGGCTCCCTACCCCTACTCCCCAACAAACACTCATACCAGTTGCTTCGGAGGACAGAACTGATGCCACTTGCTGATGCCTCACAAGTAGCTACCCTGGGATAAGAGGAACTAAATTATCACCAGGCCATAGGCTTTCACAGGAAGTCCGACTCTTTCCATAGGCTGCACCCCGGAGCCAAACACCCATGTGACGTTGGGAAAATCCCTTTAGCTTCCCAGGCTTCAGGTTTTTTCATCTGTAAAATGGGAAAGAAGGCATTTGATAATGGCCATCTCCACGTGTCTCACTTCCTCTGCCCTGCACTTGCTGCACTTGCTGCTCGGAGTCCGTGGATGAGGCCTGGGCCCTGCCCCTCTGTGTTGCCAAGCTCATGGCAGTGGGGCACAGATCCTGCGGAAGGGGCTAATTTATAAAGCCGTGCCCCATATCTGCAGCTCTGGGTGGGGATGCCTGCCTGGTACGTGGCAGCCTGCCGGGCCAACGTCAAGAGTGGTGCCATCATGTCAGCCCTGTCGGACACAGAGATCCAGCGGGAGATTGGCATCAGCAATGCCCTGCACCGCCTCAAGCTCCGGCTGGCCATCCAGGAGATGGTGTCGCTGACCAGCCCCTCTGCCCCGCCCACTTCCAGGACTGTGAGTGGCCTGTCCCTCACCCAGGACATTTCCAGAAGCCCCACAATAGTGCTGCCAAGTCTCCCAGTGGTCTTGGGAAGATGGTAGCCCTGGGTCCTGCCCTGTAATTCCCATCCCCACAAAGGGCTCCACCTGGTTTCCCGGAGGCAGTGACATGGATTCTAGGGGTATCCCAGCACCCATGTACCACCCATGGGCTCCATCTTCCCATCCTAAGCTGTCAACAGTTCTAGGTCTCTGGGATGTTTCTAGGACTGGACATGCTTCTGTGTTGTTAGACTGAGACTGAGGGAAACAGAGGGAGGGGCTCCTCGTGAATTATGGTCCCCCAGCCTCTCCACAATAATGCAGACTATTCGGCAGGATCCACCGGGGTAAAAACCTTCCCTGTAGTCCATGCCTGCAGTCCGCCTCATTCCGGATACACACTGGTCGTTCACATTCATTCAGGAAACAGTTGTCAGGCACTTCTCTGGGCTGGGTGCTGTGCTAACCAGTGTGGACACAGATGACAAAGGGCAGTTGCTCAGAGCTGGACAGTGTGCAGAGCGGTGGGCCGGGCCTGTGGGAGGAAGGCCCAGGGGAGGTGGGCTTTGTCCTATTGTCAGGGCTCCTAGCTGGTGGGGACCCTGGGCACCCACACACAGGACCAGCTAGGGTTCCTCTCTGCCTGCAGTCTTCCGGGAATGTCTGGGTCACCCATGAGGAGATGGAAACTCTGGCAACATCCACTAAAACAGTAAGTGGAGCCTGGCCCCGGCTGTGCGGGGCTGATGACGGCCACAAGGGTGAGGGGCAATGTGGGAAGCCAGAGGCGTGCAGTTGAGCCGATCCGAGGCTGGCATCCTTGATGGGACTGCGTTCTGTTTTCAGGCTGTTGGGCTGCAGGAGAGAAGAGAATGGGAAGAGTGGGGGGGTCCATTCCAGGGGATCATGGGGTGCCCCTCACTCGCTGGCATGCTGCAATGGAGGAGAGCTGGGCTTGGGGGCGCCCCGCCCTGCTGGGGGCTGGAGCCACAGAGTCCTTGCCCTTGTGCTTGATCCTTGGGGGCGGAGCTGGGGCTGGGGAAGCCTGGCCCCTTGCCACGCCTGGGTGGTGCAGGAGCAGGTTTTGGCTCCCCTCTCACCACAACTACAGGCACAGGCAACAGCTTGCTGTTCTCTCCTGACCCGTCCCCCACCCAGCTATAGGGGCTGCCGCCTTTCCCAACGGGGCCCGGGGCGGGGGCTGCGGGGTGTCCTGACTTTGCCTGTCTCCCTTGACACGCTGCACTCGCTCCTGCTAGGACAGCGAAGAGGGCAGCTGGGCTCAGGTAAGAGCCTCCCCCTGACTAGACCTGACCCTCGAGCTCAGCCCAGTACCCCCAGCAGGCTCTCTCCCTGGCAGGACTCTGAGTCCCAGTTGATTTATGTTCCTCTCCGCACCCAGGTTCTCTCCTTCTAACGAAGCTCCTCCCTCCTCCCTCTCCTTTAGCCCCTTGTTCTGGTTGCTCAGGATGGCAGGGGTGGAGGCCTGGAAGGCTGCGCCCCAGCATGCCTGCCTCTTCCCCTCAGTTTGACTCTTCCCAAGAATAATGAGACTTAGATCCAGACGAGGCCTTTTCCTCTCCCCATCCTCTCAGGGGCACCCCAGTGAGCTGGGCAAAGGCCTTGCATTCATTCACTTAGCAAATTTTATTGAGCAGCTACTTGGTATTAGGCCTTCCTAGGCTCTCTGGATACAGAAGTGAACAAACTAAGCCCTCATAGAGTTTATGTTCTGGGGGAGAGATTGGCAGAAAACAAGGGCAACATGCAGGCAGCTGAAAGGGCCATGGGCAGCACTGTTACACTCGCAGGGACACCGGTCCACAGGCGCCTTGGACAGATCAGTCATGGTAAATTCACAACAGAAAAACATTGAGCAGGTAAGTGGATGAATCTTAGAAATACAATGTCAAGTGCAAAACATTAAGTCCCAAAGATGTATAGAATTTTATGCTGAAACCCAAAAGCAAACAAATCTAATAGTATATTGTTTGGAAAGTAGACATTGGTGACTGTAAAACTAAAAAATTTTTGTCATGCAAGGGAATGACAGGAACCTCAGCACAGTGGTTCCTTCTAGAGGGGCAGCAGGGGACAGGAGGGGAAGAAGAGCCTAGGGGTGGATTTGACAGTGTGGATAACATGACAGTGTCCATAGATGTTAATTTTATTTTTTTCTGCTCGAAAACAAAATATGCTACATATATTTTTACATGTGGAAATTATTAAAAAAGATAAGATAAATTTTTCAATCTAAGAAAGTCATAGTGATGAAGGGTAACTGTTAAACCTGTCTTTCTAAGGATAGGTGGTCAGGGAGGTGCCCATTTCTGGCCCAAGGAAATGTCTAAACAGAGCGGGTCTCAGGACCAGGCAGGGCGGCCTGTGGGGTCCTCTGTAATGCAGCCTGTCCCCTGGGCTCAGCAGGCTTGAGGCTGAGTGAGCCTCAGGAAGGCAAGTCTGCCACGCAGCGCCACAGATGCATTTCAGAATTCACAGGAAGGATTTCCTGTTGTCTGTTGCCTGCACTGTTGCTTCTGTTCATTAGTGTAGATACTGATACGTGAGTGGAACCGTATCATTTTGGAATCTTAGAAAGTTGTGTTTCAAATCCCCACCTCCCACTACTCCCAGCCCCTTAGTGAAATTAGCTGAAGTTTTATTGACTTGCTATGGAGGACAGAGTAATGTTTCTCTCAGCCAGCTGTGCCAGCTGCAACCTGCTGGCCAAGATTTCCTTCCCCTTAGCCTCTGCCCCTTATTCTCCCAGACCCTGGCCTATGGCGACATGAACCACGAGTGGATTGGGAATGAGTGGCTGCCCAGCCTGGGGCTTCCCCAGTACCGCAGCTACTTCATGGAGTGCCTGGTAGATGCTCGCATGCTGGACCACCTCACCAAGAAGGACCTGCGGGTACACCTTAAGATGGTGGACAGCTTCCACCGGTGAGCAGGCTGGAGCTGGGGCCACCCCTGATGTGGGGCTCCCCAAGCTGGGGTGGAAGAGGTTCCATCTCCAGGAAAAGAAGTGCCTCCATCTCTCAACATGACCTGGATGGTCACAGGGCTCCCTCTTTCCAAAGCTGATCCACCTCTCATGCTACAGTTTGAGGATTTGGTCCTCACACCTCCAGCCCTTAAGACACAGAAAGTCATTTCTCTTTAGCTTCACTTTCTTGGACATATCCCCCCTAAGTCTGAGTTTCATTACTTGCCTTTGGGCTTGCTGACTTCTCTGTGTTTACTCCTTGAAGACTCAAACTGAACCCAGCGTCCAGTTTAGGTGTCGAATTCCTTCTAAGCCGAAAGGTCTTTCTGGGCCTTGCCCTGCCAACATCCCAGATCTGCGCCTCTCAGCTTTGAACTCATGTCCTTTCGTACAGGCTGTCATTCAGTCCTTTTGTCTTCCTGCTGGAAAGATCTGTTTAAAAGTGTGTGCAACAGAGGTCCCCAACTGGCAGCCTGTGGGCAGAGCTTGAGCAAAACAGATGTGTTTTGTTTGGCCCACACAGTATTTTTAAAAGTATGAATTTAGTTGCCAGTATTTAAACACTAGGATATTCTACACAAAATTCTAGATGTCTGGCTTCTCTTGAAAAATTGAAAGCTCTGTTGACACATTCTAGCATGGAGACGACCAGCTGGACCTGAGGGCTGGCAGCCCTCCTCAGATGAGCCTCCAGGTCCTCCCCGCCCCCTGCAGCCTGCTTCTCTCATTTGCATTACGTGCTGGACCCCAGGAGGCATTTGGGTTGGAGAGCAAGGTGGGTGGTAGTGCTTCCAGGAATTGACAGCTTTTAGGAAACTTTAACTTCAGCCTCAAATCACAGGCTGCTGTTTGAGCCAGGTCTTCTGTCTTTTACGTTTAATGCCCATTGCAGGAGAGTGTGACCCCTGTCTCACATGTGCTGGGTGCCATCCTGCTGGGAAGTGGCACAAGCTGGTGCTCAAACCCAGAAGAGTGGGTAATGGGATAAGGTTGGGGCTGGGGTGTGTGGCTTTTCAAGGTTTTCTTGGGGGCCTGCAGATGTCCCTTGGTCTCTCTGACTCGCAAACCACAGAAAGTTAAATCTGGAAGGGATCTGTTTAGTCTCCCCATTTTATGCCTGGGCAAATGGGGGAGTGTGTGGCTTTTCAAGGTTTTCTTGGGGGCCTGCAGATGTCCCTTGGTCTCTCTGACTCGCAAACCACAGAAAGTTAAATCTGGAAGGGATCTGTTTAGTCTCCCCATTTTATGCCTGGGCAAATGGGGGTGGAGGGAGGAGCAGCAGCCCAGGGCGCCCTGGTATGGAGTGGAGTGCAGGTCCCCTGACCGAAGTCCACTCCTCTTGCCGCCCCCCTGGAGAGCCTCCTACGTCGGGGCCCCCAGCTGCGTCCTCGCTCAGCGCCAGCCCTCTCCCACTCCCGGGGCTGGGAGGGAATCTTTGTCTCTGTCCCAGAGGCTGCCAGGCTCAGCCACACCTGTCCGCTCCTCAGTGATTGATAGGGCTGAGGAGGAAAGGCCATTCCCTGCCCGGCCTGGATGTGCCTGGCCTGCTAGAGGCCCTCAGCCCAGCCCCTCCCCGCACGGGGACGTCCCCTGCCTGACCCTCTGCCCAGGCCCCTGGAGGGACTCTCAGCCTGTTCACGTGGTTCTGAGTTCAGCTCTAAATCTCGAGTATTCGGGTTTTCTATAGCATTTCCACATTCCTTACCTCAGCTCTGTATACACCTGGTTTTATTTCACTTAACATTTCATAACCACGTTCTAGCTTTAAAAATTCTTTTAAATCAGAACTTTTTATGACAAGAAAGGGATTTTTATAAATTCTCCTCTTTCAGCTGGGGAAAACAAGTCCAACAGAGATGAGTGTCACCAGGTCACTCAGCCAGGTGGTTACAGAACAGAGCCGACATCCTGCTTTCTTGACACCCAGCTCAGAGCATAGTGTTCTATGGAGGTTTCCTGGAGGATCTCCTGTGTGGGTCAGAGAACCAGCACACGCAGTGATCAGCAATGTCCTCCTCACAGTGGGGCCGCTGCTGAGTGTTCTGATGTCCCAGAGGCTGTGCTAAGCCCTCCCATTGCACAGTCACCGTTAAGGCTCATTGCAGCCCTGCCAAAGTATGACCTCATCTCATATATGCTGAGTGCCACCCAGCTGGGAAGTGGCAGAGCTGGCATTCAAACCCAGGTTGATCTGTGTCTAGACCTTTGTGTTTTGCAGTGCTGGCAGCAGCTTTGAAAGTCATGAACCACTCTGAAAATCATAGCGAGATTGAAATTAAACAAAAGGCATTTCCATTTACGAGGTGTATGCTCTTCTGCCCCCACTAGTGGACCAAAGCTTAAACCAGTGACTTGAGCAATGAATGGGTGCCCTGAGCCAGAGATGAGTTCCTAGAAGTGCCATCTCTGAGCTACAAGGGGTGGTTCTAGGCAGAAGGGCTGCCTGGGTAGAGCTAAGGGGAGAAAAGGAGGGATAATTGAATCTTACAAAGCAATGGCCTCAATAGTAGGATGAGAAGCAGTGGGAATTGGCAGGCACCTTCTATTCTACTCCATTTTATAGATGACAAAACCCAGAGAGGCTGAGTGACAGAGCAGCGTTCACGTTAAGGAAGCCCACTACTGTGAAAGCTGCCCGAGAGGGAATGAGCTGCCTCGAGAGGCAGTAAGCTCCTTGTCACAAGAGGTGTTTGTGCAGAAGACTCATGCTATTCAGAAGGCTGCTGCAGGGGGCCTCCTGCTTTAGATGGGAGCTTGGGCTGATGGCCTGTGGAGTCCCTTCTAACCTACAGATTCTGTGGCTCTTGGCCTGGCTTAGTTATTATTTCTAGAGGACTTACTATGCACCTCCTGCTCTTTACATATGTTTAGTACCTCCTGTGAATTATTTCACTTCATTCATTAGGCATGGATGGCATTTACTCTGTGCCAGGCACTATTCTAGGGGTTTGAGATACACTGGGGAACTAAACCCTTTCCCAGTCCTCATGAAGTATACATTCTAACTGGGAGAGACAGACAAGGAACAGTAAATATATAGTATGTTAATAGATAAAGAGTGTGAGGAAAAAAATTAGATCAGGGTGAGGGGGTTGGGAGTGTGGGCTGGGGTTGGTGATGGCAATTTTAAATCACATGGACAAGTGACTGTTGAGTTGAAAAGATAACACTTGTGCAAAGACTTAAAAGAGACAAGGGGGTGAGCCATGCAGCAGTCGGTGGGGGAAGGTTCTAGGCAGTGCAAAGGCCCTGAAACACATAGGCCAAGTGAGGAACAGCAGGGGTGTCAGTGTAAGGAGGCAAATCAGGGAGCATCTTGTAAGCCACTGTAGGGACTCCAAGTGAAATGGGGGTACAAAGGAATATCTGTAGGGGTCTTTGTCATTCTAGTGCTGGGTGTGTGTGTTGGGGAGGTAGGCATGTGGCTTCAGTCATAGAACTTTCCTTCCATCAATCAGGCCCACTCGCAGGCTGAGAGGAAGGACACGGGTAAGCAGAGAGAGGGAAGTAGCCTTGGGATGGACCGCACACAAACCCTGGGAGGAGCACGTGGGCCAGAGTGCTCTTTGTGCCGGGGGACGTAGCTCTGGACGTGCTGTGGCTGGTGCTGGATGGGCAGTAACATGGCCCACCGAGGCTGTAGCTCAGGGACTGTGTGCCTGCAGAAGCAGTCTTCAGTATGGCATCATGTGTCTGAAGAGGCTGAATTATGACCGGAAGGAGCTGGAAAGGAGGCGTGAGGAAAGCCAGCACGAGATGAAGGGTAAGCCTGCCGGGCTCAGTGGTCGAGGGGTGGGAGGAGGGGAGAGGTGGGGCCGCCTTGCTGATCCCTGCCATGGGCTGAGCAGAGGGAGAGGGGGCGTTCTGTGCCTCAGATCTGAGGGTATCTGAGAGATCAGAGGAAGGAGACAGCCCCGACCCTAGGGAGCTCCCGGTCTGCTGAGGGAGACAGAGCCCATGCCCCAAGGACACTGGTGGACAAGAAAAAGCACCTGCCCAGTCAGCTGTACCTCCTCCCGCCAGACAGTGGCCACCAACTGGACACATGCAGGGACTTCCTAGGACAGTGCCCTCTCTGGTGTGAGAAAGTGCTTGTGAAACTTGGTGAGCTGGGTAGGGGTGGGCAGGAAAGAGGCGGGTCTAAGAAGAGACTTCCACAAAGGTGGAAAGAATAAGAAGAGGGCCATTCCAGCTTGGGGGTCAGCTGATGGCCTGTGCAAGGGCTCTGGGAAGGAAGCCAGGAAGCTGGTGGCCTGCCCCTGAGTCTGGTAGGCTGGCAGGGATGGAGTGAGGTGGGGCAGGTTCTCCAGGAGCCCAGGCACCGGTAGCCTGGAGCTGTGGGTCTAGGGAGCTCTATTTCTGTCCCTAGGGGCCTCCGCCAACTCTCCTGTCTCATTCTGCCCCTTCTCTTCCCCTGCCCTCCAGATGTGCTGGTCTGGACCAATGACCAGGTGGTTCACTGGGTCCAGTCTATTGGGCTTCGGGACTATGCGGGGAACCTGCATGAGAGTGGCGTGCATGGTGCCCTGCTGGCTCTGGATGAGAACTTTGACCACAACACTCTGGCCCTGGTCCTCCAGGTCCCCACGCAGAACACCCAGGTTGGTGTCGCTGTAACTGGTCAATCTCAGTCTCTCCCTCTCCCAGCTCTCTTGCTCTCTTCCATGCACAGGTTTACAGATTTGTAGGGGGCTTTCCTGGGGCCTGATCCAGAGGGAATCACGATGTCCTCAAACCTCCAGGCAGTTCCTGTGCATAACCCAGCTCCTAGGAAACAAATGTCCTTCACATACGGAGCACCCTGAGCAGAGGCCCAGATAGGTGCGAATTCCCTCCCTGCACGGGCACCCGCTCTTCTCCCAGCCCCATCTTTGCAACTGAGACTCTCTGCCTCCCTCTTCCTCAGCCTGCTTTTCTGACCTGACTTTTTTTTAAGAAGAGAACTAGCCCTGGGGTGTGAAGAGACCAGAAAGCCCGTCGCCTTTCTCTTCCACCCTTGGGGTCTGCTCCTGGGGCCTCAGGCTAAGAAAGCTCAGTATACCAAATGACAGCCCAGAGCCTCTCCACACTGGGGCTCTGTCTTCCTGTCAACAGCTCCAAAGATTAGACATCTCCTTAAATTACATTTCGTAATTATGATGGAGCTGTCATCCAAGAATTTATCTAGATTCTCTTGAACCTATTTATCTGTTTGGACTTTCTGACTTCCTGGAGTAATGGCCTCCAGAAGTCCTACCTGCTGTACCAAGTGCTTCCTGATAGTATTTGTCCTAAATGTGCCCCATTGGGCTCCCCCTGGGGAAGGGAACTACCGTGTCCTAAACTCCTAGGTTAGGAAAGGGTGTTGGATCTAACCAGCTACCACCTTTAGTGACCTCATAAACTCCGGTTGGGTTGCTTCTCCGTCCAAGCCTTTGTCCCTCCAGACGAAGTGGTCTTAATTCTTTTAGCCTTTCCTCATATAGACTTGCTTCCGTGCCCTGATCACTTTAGCTGCCCTTGTCTGGACTGTTTGCAGCTGTCGGGTCTCTTGAAATGCAGCCACCAAAGCTGCCCAAGCTATTCTGGGAGCAGACGCACTTCGGCTCGTACGAGGATAGTGCTGTGTTGGCTCGTGGTTTGGGGCGGCACAGTGGCCTTTTGGGGGTGACTGGCAGCACACAGGGCCAGTGTGTCCTACAGGCTGTCTGCATTGACCCCCCACCAAGCTGGTCAGAACAGATAGCACAGATCCCCTGGTTCTCTTAGAAGAGCTTGGATTTCCCCCAGAGGCAGCTGTTCCCTCCTTGCCCACCTCCACCTTGTCTGCTGCTTTCTTGCCCCACTCACAGCTTTGTGAGATGTTTCTGAAGTTTATGAGTGATGCCTTCACCTGTCCCTGTCCCTACCCAGAGGAGCAGTGTCACCTGGATGCTTGGACAGTGTGCTGTGCTTTGCCTCTCCACCTGTTTGTAAGAATATTACATTCCCAAGACTGTCCTTGTGGAACCAATGGTTAATACTCGCACCCAGAAATGGGCTTGTTCTTCCCCATCTTTTGTTTCCTGTCTTGGAATGCACCCAGTTTTGTGGCTAGCCATGCACCTGTAAACAGCAGTGGGGTGCCTGTCTGCTGCTTTCCGACCTGTCTGAATTTCCTGACCCAGTCATTTGGCTTTGCTATCAGAGGCAGTGGGAGCTCACACCATGTGAACCCTTCATCAGAAATGGTTACAAATATCTGGTGGCAGTTTTGAAAACTTTCTTGTTTCAGGCTTTCCCCAATCTCCGAATGAGTCAAGCCCCTAGGAGGCCTGGAGAAGGTCCCTCATCTCAAGAGCCGCCAATACCCACAGCTGAGCTGACTTCCTCACTTTAAGTTTTGATGTGGAGCCTTATGGAATATGTTTCTTTAAATAAGTTAAATTCTTATTATCCATGGTCTACACACTTCTTTTCCCCTCTAGAAAGGTAGTAAGGCATGATTTTCTCTTATACACAAAATGTGGGTTTTTCCCCATGTAGGAGAAGTGTGCCCATCCATGTGTTCTGTGATCCTGCTTGTTAAAAAGATTAGTTTTCTAATTTGCTCCATATGAAAGAATCCTAAGGGTTACAGCTCCACTTCCAAGAGGAGACTGAGGTCTGTCTGCTTAAAGCAGCAGCGTCCAGCGAGGCTGCTGGGTTAAACGCACTAGCAGTTCCATCCCTGCCCTGGGGCTCACAGGGGTCACTAACTATGCCCCTCCCACCCTGTGGACTCCAGGCACGCCAGGTGATGGAGAGAGAGTTCAACAACCTGTTGGCTTTGGGCACCGACCGGAAGCTGGAGGATGTAAGTACCTGCCTGTGAATTTGGGGCCCTGGGGGCTCGGTCACTGTTGGTTCATTCATTGGATTGAAGTTCCTGAGTTCTGCTTCCTTGGGCCGAGGGTTCCTGGGCAGCCTAAGTAAAAGAGGAGAGCCATGGGGGACAGGCGACCCTGGGGGAGGCTGGCCCAGGCCCAGCCAGGAAACTGCTTCCTTGTACCGAAGCTGTAGGCTGCTCTCTGTGCCACCTCCAGCATCCCCCCATACTATGCCCCAGCCTCCTGACCACACAGGATCGGGGGTCCCCAGAGGCCACCCTCACAGTGCAGTGGCATGGCTGTTTGGAGGGAGACCTTATAGGAGGTCTGGTCAGTGTATGGCAGGCTGGCTCGCCTGCTCCTTGGTGCAGCTAACGGGCTTTATCATCCCAGCTTTCTCTCTAGTTTCACTCTTGCGTCTCCCTCATGCCAAGCTAAGGTTTCCCCTCTGGGCCTCACACACTGAAGTGGCAGTTCCTTCTCCTGGTGCCGTCAGGCCTTCCCCTGGAGTTTAGGCTGTACTGTGACTGGGAGACCCCCGAGTTCCAAGCCAGGGTGCGCCCCTTGGGACGCCCGCCAGAGCGCACTTGCTTCCTGAGGCCGACTGTCTCCTCAGCCCCACCCCAGCCCTTCCTGTCCCTCACCTTGCCTGCCCTTGCCTGCCAGGTCTGCAGATGAGACACGCTCAACAATACACATGATTTGTGGAGGGATGTTTTCTTCACAGAGTGCCTTGAAATGTGGGATGTGTTGTATTTATATACACACACAATATACATTGTAGGGAAGATAATATGCATTGTGTGTGTGTGCACATTTGCATTCCAGTCAAGGAGATGAATGAACTGGCAGGCCCTCCCCACACCAAGCTGTCTCCACTATCTGAGATCTTAATTTTCCCGCTGCCCCTGCAGTGTGGACCCTCCTGTTCTCACCATACCTAGAATCTCAGCTTCTTTTGATGTCTGGAAAAATGACTCCCATATGTGTTAGTATGGTGCTGTCTAACTTAGAAAGCTCCTTATTCCTTCAATCCTTACAAAAATATTCTTTGGAAGCCCACTCTGCGCCAGGAATTGGGTGATGCATGGTACTTCTGTGGTCACAGGCTGTATGCTGACAATATCATCTATTAGGGACTAGAACTCAAAGAGGTAACTTACCTTCTGTCACCTGCTGATGTGTGGCAGAGCGGGACTGAGGCAGAAGGCTGTCTGATTTCTGTGCTCTTTCCCCTACATCCTGCTGCTTCCTGGAAGCACATGGAGCGACATGTCTGGCTTCAGACATTAGGTGGAGTTACTGAGCAGGTGATGTCATCTTGGCAGCACGGAGGGCTTTCTGGGATGCAGCTAGTATGGGGCTTAAGAGGACTGGTTCTTGCAGGAAGCTTAAAGGAGAAGGCCAGGTCCTAGGAATAAGTAAGGTTTTTGGTGGTGGATGTGGGCAGATGGGAGGCCAGAGAGCCGAGAAGACTGCAGACTGCCGCCTGTCCAGCCATCTCGCGCACCGTCACAACCTTGAGCTGCCTCTTCCCAGCTGTTTCCTCTGTCGTTCTGGTTAGCAGTTTCCCCTCTCATACTTCAAGGCCCTAGAGGGCTGCATCCAATTCTCCTCTACTCAGGAGCAGGACTCAAGAGCTGTAAGGAGGGGAGCAGAAAGAATATCTGACTATGAGCGGTGTGGGAGGAGTACAGAGCAAGTCCTTAGGCTTGGCTTAAGGTGGAAAGGGAGAGAATGAGAGAGATGAGGGTGGGTAGGTGGCGTGGGGATGAGAGAGTGAGAAAGGGAAAGGGCTCTGGGCTGGACTAAGGGCAGGATCATGCAAAGGACAGAAATAATGAGGAGAGTTCCTGATGAGTTCAGGGCTGGGATGCCTGCATAGGAAGCCAGCTGCCCTCATTCACTTAACATATATTTGTTGTCTATAATGTTCCCTGGGCATACTCAGGGGTGCGGATACATTAGTTGGAACAAAAAACATCATGGTTTCTGTCCCATGGAGTGTAGAATTTGAAAGAGAGAGGGATAGAGGAGGAAAGAGAAAGATTAATGAGTCAATCTCATAAATATGTGTAAAAACCACCCCAGGACAAGTGCAATGACAAGAGGCACATGGTGCTAAGAACGATGGGAGCATCGGGCCTCCTCAGGGCCCAGGCAACAAACCCTACGGGGTGGGGCTGGGAGGGTTCGTTGAGGCTCCGCCTAGCGGGTTAGCGTCCCGTGTTCCTGCTGGTAGCCCTCTGCCTGCCCGTCGTGGTGGAGGGAGATCAAGCATGGCTGTCAGGCAGGGTGGGTGGGTGTGGGGATGTGGCTTTTGTAGAGGAGCGTCCTGTAGGGTTATGGCTCTGGATGCCCTTTGGCGGAGAGAGCTGTTTGGGGGCTTGGCTGGCATACGGAGGCTGCCCCTGTCCTTTGGAAGAGCCTGCCTCTGATTGGCCATCGGCCTGACCTGTCACTCTCAGGCTGCTCTCACCTGATCCGTTAGGGATAGGCAGCCTGGGAAAGAGGTGGGGCAGATAAGTTATTCTTTTACTGAAAAGGAAAGTGAAACTCAGAGAGGTCATTTAACTTGTCCAGGGTCACATAGCGAGTAAAATGGAAACCAGGTCACCTCACTCCTGACCTAGTGCCCTTCCAGCACATAGGGCTGCGGCCATACCGTGGACAGGAGGGAGGTGGATGGGGGCTGGCTGGTGACCACTTACCGCAGGATGAGGCCAGGAAGAAGAATACTTGAAAAGTCAGTGGCCCCCTGAAGTCCAGTTTGAGATGACTGGAGTGGATTGGGGAAACAGATCAACTGCAGGGTGATGACAGATCTGACTAGACCTACCCGTCCTCCCCTCCCCACTGCGCTTCTCCCACCCTGGAGATGGGAAATCTCAGTTTCAGGGGTCGCTGGGAGTCATCTGCTTAAGTAGGTTTATTTTGCAGATGGAAAAACTAAGGGCCAGAAGGGGGTGCTGCTTCTCCCTTCTTTCCAAAGGGACAGGAGTGGTACCCCTAGACCCAAACATGACCGCCCTTGCCCCAGGCAGGGAGTGAGGGTGGCAATTCCAACACACTGGGCCTTTGCGTGTCCCCCTGGTGCAGGGGGAGGACAAGGTGTTCCGCCGCGCGCCCTCCTGGAGGAAGCGCTTTCGGCCGCGGGACCCCCACGGCGGCGGCATGCTCAGCGCCTCGGCCGAGACGCTCCCGGCGGGCTTCCGCGTGGCCACCCTGGGGCCCCTGCAGCCTCCGGCGGCCCCGTCCAAGAAGATCCTGCCTGAAGGTGAGGGGCCTGCGGCCCGGGCTCGGTCCTGCGTAGGCCCCTGGGCGGCGGGGCAGGGCGGGGCCGGCGCTCGGTGCGGCGGAGGCGGGCTCCCCGCGGACTGGGGCCGAGCGGCACTAACCGGGCAGGGCGTGGGCGCCACTAACCCGCCGTTCTGTGTTCTCCCCGGCCGCGACCGCCCCCAGCCGGGATGGCGGGGGCGCAGAGACTGGAGACCTCCACGGTTCGGACCTACTCCTGCTGACCCCGCCTCCCGGCCCGGGCCTGACGGGGGTCTGCCCGTGGCGCGGGGTAAGTGCGCCGGGCCTCCCCGCGCGCCTGCCCCCTGCCGCGGCCTGGCCCCGCCGCTCCAGCCCTGCTCGCGTCCGCCCCGCTTGTCCTAACCGCTTCCTCTGGCCGTGGGCGCTTTACTCGTGCAAACACACCGCGGATGCCTTGCGACCCCGGTTTCCCAAGGAAAGACATCCCGGCTCATCATGCAATGCCTCTCTGCCTCTCTGTCTCTCTGTCTCTGTCTGTCTCTGTCTCTCTCGCAGCTCACTCCCACTATCTGTACGGACACATGCTCTCCGCCTTCCGGGACTAGCCACGGCCCCAGACATGGCCCCCAGCGCGGGCCGCCGCCTCCTGGGTTTCAGCAGCTGGCCGGCCCTGACTCCTCCTGCCCGTTCCCCCGCCTCTCACGGCTCCTGGTCGCATCCGTGACTTCCCAGTTGCCCTGGACCTCGGAATATACTCGTACACCCCCTCAGCATCCCACTACCCTGGGGTCCCACCCTGTGCCCTTTGTCAGTCTCTTGTGGGTGTGGCTGGGTCTCCCTGTGTTGTGGAGGCACCTGGTTTGCCTTTGCTTGGGACTCTGGGAGGGAGGGAGAGGATGGCAGCCCAGGGTGGGTGTGACTCCACCCTCCCTCTTCTGGGCCCAGCCTGGCCTGGCAGGACTGCCACTGCCACCAGAGACCAGGACACCACAAGGGCTGGGGATAGTTCTTCCAAGAAAAGGGCACTAAAGACTTTGCCCCGTCTGGGTACTTCTCCTTTGGATCCCTACCCACGTCCCAGCATTGCCCTTCCCTCAGCTCCTCTGTCCAACTGTGCCTCCTGCCTCCAGGCCCTCCTTGGGGGCCAGGAGGGCTGCAGAAGGCCCATTGTCCTTCAGGATGGCGAGGCTGGGGAGGAGGAAGGCTAAGGGGGAGATGCCCGGCCCTTGCTTCATCTCAGGAATCCCAAGTGTGAGTTTGGGAAGAATCTGAGAGAAATGAGCCTCTGAGCTTTGGGCCAAGCATAAGGATGTTTCATGAAACTCTCAGCCCTCCCACCCAGTGAGAGGTGCAGGCAGGCTGGCTGGAGGGCGAGCCAGTGGCCTGTGCCAGCCTTAAGCCCAGAGGACAGTGGGAATGCCTTCTGCCCCAGCTGCAGGGTAGAGCTGCTGCTGGGCTGGGGGACTGTGTTGCTCTTGCTCTGGCGCAGAACAGAGCTAACCTTGCACTGCCGGGGATGCTCCCAGCATCCTTCCTGTGCTGTCCCCACCTGCCCCGCCGCTTTAGGAATCCAGCCCATAGGTGAACCTGATGGGTGGGTTGAATATACCTTGACTTTCAAATCAGCTTTGGAAAAGAGGTAGTCCGAGGCTTCTTCGGCTGTGTCCTGGGGAGAAATACATCTTCCTCTTCAGGGAGTCATGTCCCAGATGCAGGAAATCCAATGTTAGTGAAGATCCTCATTCTCCTGCTTATCCCCAAATTGCCCGCGTCTTGTTCGGGTTCTTTTAGTGTGTGGGGATTGCCTCCTCCAGAAATTCCTGAGACATGCCAGCCTTCACCACTTTGTGTTTCCCAGCAGCATGGTGGGGTATCACCACTTTGTGTTTCCCAGCAGCATGGTGGGGTACAGGTCCTGGTTTGGTAGGAATGTCATTCCGTCCTCTTCTCACACCTCCTCATTCTGCCAAGGTGCCTGGAAGTGTTTGGGACCCAAGTTCAGAGGGAATTGACAGAACCCAGGGCTTCCTCCAAGTGAGAGGATAGGAAGTGTCTGGACATGCTTCCTGGAGAGAGGCTGGCATGGTGCCCTCCTACAGGTGGCCAAGCAGCTGGCTTGCAACCCAACCGATTGGCTTCTGGTGGGGGCTGGGCTAGCAGGTGGGATAATGGGTCAGAGCAGCCTGTCCAGGAGCAGTGGTGGAGCCCAGGCAGTGCAGCAACCAGAGCCTCTGCTGCTCCTCAGCAGAGGAGGGTCCCCTGGTGGGGGGCTGTGTGAGCTCCCCAGGTGTGGGTAAGGCAGCCGCCTACGCTGGCTCTCTCTCATTGTACCCTGCCTTCCATGTCTGTCAGGGTGGAGCAGAAAGTGTTCTTAAGCAGAGAGGGAACTGCATGGAGAGGAAGAGCCCCTGTCTCTGTGTAACGGGTGTCAAGATTATACAGACTCTTCAGATCCCTAAGATGGGTGGAGTTGGGATGACAAAGTCATTTGAATTCTTCAGGGGGCTCTTGATGGACTAGCTGAGTGGGAGATTCAACCCTGCCCCCTTCTGCACAACTTTTCCCCATCATGGTTGGTCATTTCATAAGGTGGCAGCTGGTGGGACCAGGGCCGTTCAGGGCACCTGAGGGAGCATGCGCGCAGGTGACGGAGAAGCGAAGCCCGCGCATAGAGCGGTGGAGGGCTGTAGTTTTGGTGTAACCCCTTGCCTCACAGTCAATATATTTTTTATCGGAGTCACCAATGAGCTGAGCCCCTCCCCAGCCTCCTGTACGTCCTCAGGCCCCTTCTCCGTACCGTCCCGGCGCAGTGCATCAGGAGTGGGTGTGTGGGTGTGTGTGAGTGTGCGTGTGGTGCATATGTGCCAATAAACAGTCTGGTTTTCAGGCAACGTACAAATGGCTCTGGTCTTTCTTGGAACTTCGAGCTCATCTGCCACGTTGAGCTTCTTTCACAGTCCTAAGGGCTGCCGTCCTCTGGGGAGCAAGTATCATAACTAAAAATGTAGTCAACAACCTTCTGTTAGAAAACCACTGGATTGCTAGAGAGACTCAGGCTTGGGTTGCTTGTGCCAAGGGAGTGGAGGAAAAGAGGAGGAGCGAGGGGCCCTGACGCTGGGCTTGACTCCCTTCTTCCTCTCTCCTTGCCAGGCCTTGACTTGCTCCGCCTGCTTGCAGCCTTTCCCAGGCTCCCAGGTCACTGCCCCTAAACACCCTCCAGCCACATCACTGCTCACACTGCGGCGGCCCCCAGCTCTTCCAGATCAGAGTTCCGACTCCTCCGGTGGCATACGAAGCCATCTGAGATGTGGCTCCGGTGCGCACTCTCCCCTCCCCGCCGTCCCTTGTCGGCCCAACTCAGAAACACTGTGCCGGCGTGGCCCCACCGCCTGAGGGCAGCAGGAGAACTTCCCGAGCCTTTCCCGCTGCGAATCTTCCAGACCCACCTCAAGCCTCACCTGGGAGGCATCGCCCGCCCCGCCCCAGCAGAATCAGGTTGCTGAGAACCCATCGCTCCCCTGGGCTCTGCTCCCGCCGCGATGCCTGTGGCCCAGGTCTCCTCACCCTCTCCCACACTGCGCTGCGAGGAAGCTCCTTTAGTCGATCTCTGTACCCCTGGACATACATACTCGAATGAATAAATGAATCAGAGGGTTTTTTATAAGGATTCTTATTAAATAAAGCGAATCATCATTGAGAAGTATTGTGTGCCAAACACGGTTCTCAGCATGCTCAGTGAATCGGCTCGTTTAGTCCTTACAGCCCTGTGATGTATCATCACTGTTTTGCAGAACAGGAAATCACAGGACTAAGGCCACACAGCTAGTGAGACGCAGACATGAGTCTCAAGTGTAGGTCTTCCTGACTGCAGGGCCTTGTCCTTAACTACAGTATTGTTGTTGAACTTCTGACCCAGTGCCAGCAGTGCTTAGCAAATGTCACTTCTCTTTAAAGTGAGCTAAAGCCTCTGCCCCTCGGCTCTGCTGCCCCCAGCCCCTTTGCCAACCCCCTGTGTCTGTGCTACTCTGGTGATGCTCGACTCCTCAGACCTTCATGGGGCTGTTTCTTTTGCTCACCCAAGTGGTGAACTCCCAGAAGGCAGCATAGCACACATGCCTCCTTGTGCCCTTCCCAAGGCCAACAGTTGCCCGAACACTGATAGTACAGGACTGCAGGGTCCACGGGTACAGATGACAGGGCAGGATCAAGACAAGACAACCTGTGACCCAGGGAGGGCGCACAGGTGAGGGATGGTCCCGGCCTAGTTGCCTGCACCTCGGTGAGGCCTGCACCTCGGTGAGGCCACCTCCCACTCTCTCCATGTACAATTCTCCAAAAGTAGAGTTGACCAGCCTTGGTGATGAGCTAGCTGGCTACAGGAATGATCGCTGAAGGGATCCAGGAAAACTGCAGTTTCCCAGCTATCCACCAGGAAGGGTAATGGAGCAGGAGCAGGCATATGGGGAAAGATGAGTTTGATTTTGGACACGCTGAGCCTGAGATGAGACCCCGACATCATGTACTTCCCCTCCTATAGGAATGTTCCAACAGAGAGCTAGAGAGTCTGCATCTGGTGGTCGCTTGTGACTGAGGAGTGAGGCACGGCCAGAATCAACATGGGGTGGAGATGTGGGGCTCACACCGGGGCAGGACTGAACCTCCTTAGCTAAGATCCCAGCCCATGGGGGCGCCTTCAGCACTTTGTGAGCCGTAGCTCATGTCCTGGCATCTCTGCCCCAGCCTGGAGCCCAGCAGCCAGGAATGCAGACAAGTCCAAAGGACGTGACATGCTGGGAATAGTGTTTTATCCCTGTGATAGATACCTGAGCTGACTGGGCTCCTGTCACTCTCCATTGTCCCCCCACCCAACCCCCTCCAGATGGTCCAATCACTACTACACCTGGAGCACTTAAAAAGGTTTTCCAGTTTGCAAATAGATTCCTTTGAGAAGTTAGATACCTACAAATGTTTACTGGAGTGCAACAAAAAACACTTGAAGCATTCTGCAATTCACACTAATTATCTGAACACTTTAAAAAGTTCCTCTTTACACACTGACAATTGGTATGTCAATTTCAAGTAATTCTTATCTTTTTGTTCTAGTGGGATTCCCTCAAGTTCATCATTAGGCAACATTTGATTAACCCAGTTTGATTTATTGCAGGTGGTTCCACTGGAGATGGAATTTAAACTAATTTCCCTAAAGAACACTCATTATCCATTAATTTCAGACTCATCTGTAATTCAATTGTGAAGGCTAAGCATTTGTTAAGTTGTTAATTAAGAAAGTCCCTGTGCATTGATGACAGTTGTTTATTCTGTGCAAATAACTTCTGAGACTGGCCTGCTTGTCAAAGTTTGCCATTCACACTTGTGAGATTCGGCAGCTTCTTTTTACCTGGAGGGAGGCCTACTGACTTAAAGAATGACAAAGAAGTAAGCAGATAATGGCTACGCCTGACAATGGTCAGGATTAATGATTGTAATAGCCACTGCTGAGGACTGTTCATTCTTCCCAGATTATGAATGTGAACCTCAGCTTCCAGTTGACAGGATAAGTGGAGAGGAATAATCTTTAAAAATATATCCAGCAACCCCAGAACCTATCAGCTCCTTGGTAGACATGAGTGCCCTTCTTGGCCACCAAAGCCCCCAGGAAGAAGGGGGTGGGATTGTGTCTACCCCTGGGAGCACTGGGAGGACAAATTGAGCCTGGAGGGAGCAGATCACCCTTGAATGTGTAGTTCATTATGTTCGGTGGGTAATAAAGGAGTGAGTGTGGATTCGAGACCCAAGGCATTAGGACCTGGCACATTGCCCCTGTCGTCTCCAAGAGCCAGTGGGTGAGGGAGACGGAAGAGTCGTGGAAAAGATCCAGGTGTTCCTCTCCAGCCCTTCCAATGTCAGACTGTAAACACAGCGACACAAACTCAAGAAGTAGGAAATCCCACAAATGGGCCGACTAGGCCGGTTTGTGATTCCCCAGATCCCCAGCCCTGACTGGTTGTTTGGGGGAGACTCTTCCTTCTGGACCCTCACGCGGTCTCTGGAGCCTTCTCTGAGGCTTCCTTCCTCCTCTTGACCCTAGGCAGCATTTCTGGAGCAAGTCGCACCTCAAGGAGCAGGTCAGCAGGGCAGGTGTAGGGGAGATGGCCTAGCTGAGCCCAGAAGTGCAGACCGGGCACCAGGGCCTGTCACACTCTATTTCATAGACACTGGGGAAAACTGGGTTAAATGAATTGTCAAGGACCCTGAAGAACTGAGTGGGGGCTGTAATGTACCATGCTCTAAATCCCTAGACTTCTGTAATGATTCTGACACTTCTAATTTGCAATAAATCAGATAAACTTAGCCTGAAGCAGGTGAATTAATAAAGTTCTTCATAGTTGTTCACGGTCCATTCAAATTCTAGCATCTGATACATCCCCAGCTAAATCCTTATGTAATCTCTATCCAAAAATCTTTGTTCTCAATTATCCATCCCCTTTCTCCCCTCAGGAAGCCAGTCTTGGGAAAATAGCATCCCATGTAAAGAGAGTCTGTGCTTTTCCTTCCTATGATTGTTCTTTGTGAGCTCCAGCCCCCAGCCCCCAGCCCCCAGCAGAATAGCCTCATCCTCTGAGCTGTCAGAATCCCCTTCAGACTCCAAGGACAGAAGGGTGTGGTGAGGGGACAGGCTAGTTAGCCCTCAAGGAAGCAGCAGTGTCTGGCCCCATCGCCATCCTGATTTACCACCTCCTGCTTCCCTACGGGGTTCTTGGCAAAGTCACACTGGAGGAGGGTCAGGGGTCAGGGAGGGGAGCCCACAGATTCCCGGTCTACAACCCTGCTCACTGAGTGCTAGGGGTCTGAGCACGCCCAATTAATTGGAAGGGAGTGGACCTATTGGGATTTAAGATAGAGTGCTAGGATTTAGGGTGTGACAGAATGCTCAGCAGGGTTTCCTCTGTGTCCTACAAGATTTCCAAGGAATCTGGTCTTTGCCCACCTACCGACCAGAATCCGCTTCCTTCCTAATGTTAAGAGTGGGGACCCCAGTTTCTAGTGACCACCAGCAAGAAGCCCCTGCCATCTCCAGTCCCTGTACACCCCGTCCCTGCGGTGTGCCTGGGCCACTGATGGGAAGAAGCCAAGTGGTCAGTGTCCTCTCCTTCCACCTGTCACAGACACTCTTACAGCACCCAGTCTTTATTCATTTTTTAAAAAAGAAATCCAAATAAGTTAGCAAAAAAGAAAAAGAAATTACAAAACAATGGCAAAAACCACACAATGCTTAGTTAACAAAAGAAATCGCCCCACGAGCCCCTGCTCACGCTCCCACCCCCTTGCCTGTCCCTGCAACTTAGTCACAGGAGACCTTGGTCAGACGGCAGCTTTACAAACAACGCACAAAACAGAACAAAACATAAAACCACTGGAAGGTTCCCCATATTCACTGCAAAAGCTTGGCCCCCCAGGGACTCAGGAACAGGGACTGTTCCTCTCCCCATGTTCCCTCCTTCCCCATGTTCCCTCCTGCTTCAGGGCAGGCCCAGCCCAACCACTGGCATTAGGTGGAGACAAGAGCAGGAGATGGGCATGGCTTACCCAGGTCCGGACACTGTCTCGTCTCTCAGACTGTTTCTACTGTGGGGGTGGAATTGGAGGCTGAGTTATGATCTAAGGGAAGCTCCTGAGTTTGCTCCCCGAGCCAGGGGGCACACATGAGGGCACTCTGGTCCCCTGGAAACAGATGCTCTCTGCTCTAAGGAGTCAGCTAAATGAGAGCGTCCATTCCCTCTTTGGGTGGTGGGTTAACCTGGCGTGGATGAGGAGGGGTACAGCCTGGCATTAGGCAGCCCCAGGGCTGGCTTCCTGGCATCCGCACAGCCTGGCTTAGGAGTCCCCTACTGCAG